GGGATGGAAATTATGCACATCCTTTTTCTTATCTTCCTATGTTGAAAATTCTGGTTGCTAATGGCAACAAATAGACTGAATTTCAAAAGATTTCTGATTCTTAAGTTTTTAAGTTTTTTCACTATAAGTTCTTTATTTCTTAAGGTATTTTTTTCAAAAACTTTAAATATAAAGTTGCTTGTCATCAACCACATCATATGTGACAAGGTTTACAACTCTAGCACAAAATTTATCAGAATTACCTCCCTTGAACTTAAAATTTTCATGAAAAAAAAAAATTTTTTTTCTGAATGTATCTCTACTTCAAACTTCATATAACTGTTTCTTATTATCACTCAACATTTGTGAGTGTTCAATACTCTAGCAAGACTATTTCAAGAATTATGCCACTTTTGAACTTAGACTTTTTTTTTGAGAAATTGGTAATTTTTACTCCAACTTCTTCAATCATGATAGGATTTTAAAAATGTTATATTTTGATAACAGGGATGTTTAAAAAATAACTTTAGAGTGTCCTTCAGTCCGTCTGTCTGTACATAAAAACTGTTTCCTGTGATCACTTTTAAAGAACTTTTTCAACAAATTTACTTAAAATAGGAACATAAGTGAATGGCCAATGGCCCTTCAGAATTGCCTCGCCTTTACAGTGCTCTTGTTTAATTAACCCCCTGTAAATGGATTCAGGGGGTAGATTTTGTTTCTGTGTTATCCATTTGTCTGCCTGGATTTTATTTTGGCACTATTTCTAAGCAACTATAAATCTACATATAAAATAGCCTATAAGTGACTTATAAGTGAATTCCGTAAGGGTAGTTACTGAATTTCAATGAATCTTTATGGCAATATTCAATATCAAAAGATGAAGTGCTTTTCCATTGGACCTTTCAACTTAGGAAGCCTGTGATTAGTTACAATGTATATAGACAGATTAAAATTCTTTTCAACAAATGCTTACTAAATTGAATTCATAAAAACATTTACGGGAATCATCTTTACCAGAAGGAAATTGACATATCTTCATTATGTCTGACCATTCAACACATCGTTATGGCCTGTGATTAATTATGCATTCTAACGCTATGGGAAATGTTTCTATATAAACAAAGACGGCCCGAAGCGTGCATTATTCTCCAACAATGCACTCGCCGTTCTTATTATCTCCCTGTGTATTTTCACATTGAGGGTGCCATTTTGTTTGAAAAATCTGATAAATAAAAAAAAAAATTTGTCAAATTTTGTTGTGAAAACTATCTAGAATGAAAGAAAATGGTCTAACTAAGAAAATGAATCAGAACACCAATATCTTTAATTTAGTTGTTAACGCTGTACAGACGTTTAAAGTGTTGTTTACGTGACATCACAATGTAGCGCCAAACAGCATGTGCAAAACAATCAAAATCAAGTATGCTATTTTAATGTCGCAAACAAGTTAAGTTTTACATTTATTTCACTTTTAATAATTTGTATTTCGTTTGGAAAATTATAGATTGAAATAAAATAAACAAACAAAGTTTTATCAACGTTTTCAAAATTTGTTATTCTCAAAATGTTTCTAAAAATGGTAGATTTAACGACAGTTTTTTCAACCCACTGGAACGGCCTTTAAAGAACATTTCTATTGGAAACTCTGAGGCGAAAAACAAATCTAACCACCAAACATGAAGTCCAACTTTATAATAATAATTTTTTTTTTCTTGTCGTGTTAGAATGGAAATAGATATTAATTCTTCGTGCATTATTGTATCATAATGCACGTTTTTCGTTCAAATGCTTTGTAATTAATCGCTCAGGCCTATCGGCCTACGTGATTATATTACTACACATTTGAACTCAAACCATGCATTATTCTACAACAATGCACTCAGAATTGATATCTATTTCCTAAGTATATTTGCAGAATAACATTTGTTTACGAAATATTTCCCTGCAACTCACTCAGATCACTTGGTTTTAAGGAAACCTTATTAGACCTATCAATGCTTGAATAATTGTGGCCTTGGCCATGAAAAGATCTTGAACACTATTTGGTTGGGGATAAAATTTCAATAAATGCTTGGTTATCATTATAATCATATAATATGTGTAATCAAACATGTGTCATGGAACAAAGATGTCACAAGAAGTAATTCTTATTTAACTGTATTTCATTAACAAAGTGATTTTCACTTAATTTATTTCATTTATTTTGTTGCTGTTTTTTAACAAAGTTCTAGATATTTTAAGCAATGTTTCCAATATGTATATAAATAAATTGTATATAAAAGCTGTAACAGCATTAGATAAACCATTCATTTTATTTAAAAAGAAAACAACATTTTACACTTTATTCCTATCTCATATTTATAATTGAAAAATTAATGCAAAATTTGATTTAAATCTAAATATATCTATTTTTATTTTAACAAAATAGATTCGTTTTTGTTGAATAAAGAGTTGACTCATTACCTGTGTGAAGCAATCAAAGATGTCAGCCATGAACTTCATCAAATCAAACAGGTGGAAATAATGGTTGAAGATGAAAATTCATTTACTAAAGTTCTTGGATACTTCAAACTGGAAAAAACAGGTAAAAAATTATTGTGTCAGTGCAATCTAATTAGCTCACAAGAACAGAACGTTCAGGGTGAGCTATTAGTATCAAAGGGGGATACTCCGGCGTCTGGCGTCCCTCGTCGTGCGTCAACACTTGTCTTCTTCTCTGAAACTGCTAGGCAAATTTACCTCAAATTTGGTCTGTAGCATCCTTGTGACAGTCAAACTTAATTTGCTCATGTCATCTCAATTGGCCCATTTTAGGGGTCAACAGAGCTAAAAATAGAAAAACCTTTAAACATCTACTACAGAACTAATTGATGGATGATCACCAAACTTTGACTGTTGCATTCTTGGGTAGTGTTTTATCAAATTTGCTTATATTAATTTGATTGGCCCTTTTTAGGGGTCTCTAGGGCTGATAATAGAAAAACCTTTAAACATCATCTCCTAATGAAATAATTGATGGATGATCACACAACTTTGTCTGTAGCATTCTTAGGTAGTCTTTTATCAAGTTTGCCCATATTTATTTGATTGCCCCTTTAAGGGGCAGCTAAAGCTACAAATAGAAAAACCTTTGAACATCATCTCATACTGAAATAATTGATGGATGATCACCAAACTTTGTCTGTAGCAGTCTTAGGTACGCTTTTATCAAATATGCTCATATTTATTTGATTGGCCCCATTTAAGCTAAAGCTTAAATTCATGGCATTTCTTCAAATTATAGATGAAAGATATTCTCTGCTCTAATTTAATATTAGTAAATATTGACAATAGATAATTTCCAACATTGAAAAGCAGTTGTTTCTGGTGAGGGATTCAGGGCCATCATGGCCCTCTTGCTTAAATTATTTTGAGATTTTGATGATTTTAAATGCCAATTATTTCCTTAAATGAAAAGAAAGAGAAGCGCATACTGACAGAAGATACTGATATTCAAAGTCGACCAGTGATTGTTTTTAAGAAAAATTCATTCTATAATTAAAATTTTACAGCTTTTTATTAGAAAGCCTTCATTAATTGACAATATCTGGTTGTATTGTACCTTGCATTGATGACCTGTATAGTCTCCCATTGATTGAAGTACTAGTTTGTCTTGAAATGATAATGAATAGATATTAAAGCAGCATGCTTCCAGATTCATGTTCCTTTTCATGAATTTTCTAAAGTGTATTAAACAGTAAAACATTGTCAAGTTAACAAAGAAAGAGATTGATATTGCAAATGGCACTAAAAATCTTTGAAAAAAAATACCTGGAATTGACAAGAATATGCAAAATGTTCCCTTGCTGTGTTTGCCATGCAGTATATGTATATGGTAAAAAATACTGCAAACTCATTTATTTACTACATTTAACATATAAATCATGTCTTGAATATTGAACATTTCCACTTTTCTTAAAATCTTAGTACAATTTACACAAATTTGATTATCTTGATATATTTGGCTAATCTGCAGGCATGCAGCTTTATAACTGATTTTATTTGGCATTTTACATGATTATTATGCCCCCATTTCGAAGAAAAGGGGGTATATTGCTTTGCACTTGTCGGTCCGTCGGTCCGTTGGTCCGTCGGTCCGTAGACCAAATGGTTTCCGAGTGATAACTAAAGAACCCTTAGGCCTAGGAACTTCAAACTTGGTATGATGATTGGTCATGACCAGTAGATGACCCCTATTGATTTTGGGGTCAAGGGGTCAAAGGAGGTCAAGGTCACATTGACCTTGTAAGCAAAAACGATTTCCGATCAATAACTAAAGAACCTTAAGGCCTAGGAACTTCAAACTTGGTATGGTGATTGGTCATGACCAGTAGATGATCCCTATTGATTTTGGGGTCAAGGGGTCAAAGGTCAAGGTCACATTGACCTTGTAAGCAAAAACGGTTTCCGATCAATAACTAAAGAACCTTAAGGCCTAGGAACTTCAAACTTGGTATGGTGATTGGTCATGACCAGTAGATGACCCCTATTGATTTTGGGGTCAAGGGGTCAAAGGTCAAGGTCACATTGACCTTGTAAGCAAAAACGGTTTACGATCAATAACTAAAGAACCTTAAGGCCTAGGAACTTCAAACTTGATATGGTGATTGGTCATGATCAGTAGATGATCCCTATTGATTTTGGGGTCAAAGGTCAAGGTCACATTGACCTTGTAAGCAAAAACGGTTTACGATCAATAACTAAAGAACCTTAAGGCCTAGGAACTTCAAACTTGATATGGTGATTGGTCATGATCAGTAGATGATCCCTATTGATTTTGGGGTCAAGGGGTCAAAGGTCAAGGTCACATTGACCTTGTAAGCAAAAACGGTTTCCGATCAATAACTAAAGAACTTTAAGGCCTAGGAATTTTAAACTTTGTATGGTGATTGGTCATGATCAGTAGATGACCCCTATTGATTTTGGGGTCAAGGGGTCAAAGGTCAAGGTCACATTGACCTTGTAAGCAAAAACGGTTTTCGATCAATAACTAAAGAACCTTAAGGCCTAGGAACTTCAAACTTGATATGGTGATTGGTCTTGATCAGTAGATGATCCCTATTGATTTTGGGGTCAAGGGGTCAAAGGTCAAGGTCACATTGACCTTTTTGGTAAAAACGGTTTCTGATCAATAACAAAAGAACCCTTAGGCCTAGGAACTTCAAACTTGGTATGGTGATTGGTCATGACCAGCAGATGACCCCTATTGATTTTGGGGTTAAGGGGTCAAAGGTCAAGGTCATATTGACTTTGTAGGTAAAAACGGTTTCCGATCAATTACGAATGAACCCTTAGGCCTAGGGACTTCAAACTTGATATTGTGATTGGTCATGATCAGTAGATGACCCCTATTGATTTTGGGGTCAAGGGGTCAAAGGTCAAGGTCACCGTGCCCTCTTAGGTAAAAACGGTTTCCGATCAATAACTAAAGAACCCTTAGGCCTAGGAACTTCAAACTTGGTATGATGATTGGTCATGACCAGTAGATGACCCCTATTGATATTGAGGTTAAGGGTCAAAGGGCAAGGTCACATTGACCTTGTAGGTAAAAATGCTTTCAAATCAATAACTTAAGAACCCTTTGGCCTTGGAACTTCAAACATGGTATGGTGATTGGTCATGACCAGCAGATGACCTGTTGATTTTGGGGTCAAGGGGTCAAAGGTCAAGGTCACATTGACCTGGTATGTTAAAACGGTTTCCGATCAATTAACTTAAAAAGCTTAGGCCTAGGAACTTCAAACTTTGTATGATGATTGGTCGTGACCAGCAGATAACCCCTATTGGATTTTGGGGTTAAGGGGTCAAAGGTTAAGGTCATGACCAGTTATACTTGATAACCCTTATTAATTGTTTGATCACTGGGTCAGAAGTCATGCATAATAACCTTATCACATGACTCATTGGCTGCTGATAGGGGGCATACATGTTTTACAAACATATCTTGTTTTAAGTCCTATTGTCATGACAAAGTTTTGTATTTTTGATGTTTCTTTTATCAAGTTTAGCGTGAATACCTTACAGGTCTGCTAAAAATGAAAGAACCTTTGAGAATAGTAGTAAGTGGATTTAAGGAGCATGTTGCAAAAGCTGTTGCTGAAATTAAGGAGAAATTTTCACAGTTGCAGACAGGAAATGTGAGTATATGACCAGGCTCTTATTCCATTCTAGATTTTTTAAGATTACAATTTGCTCACTTTTTCTTACAACATTTTTCAAAGCGAAAACAAGTGTTTGGGGTCTAAATAGGACATTAATAGGAAAATGAATTACAGGAGACTGAAGTAGTTAGAAATTTCCAATGGCATGTATTAATTCAAATGCAGCTGAAAAATCTTCAAAGTTAAGGAGCTGTGGAAAAATCTTCAAAGTTAAGGAGCTGTGGAAAAATCTTCAAAGTTAAGGAGCTGTGGAATAGAGGGACAGTCGTTAAGTCACTTAATCTAGTAAAAGCTGGATTGTTCATTGGACAAGAGAAATAAAATGAATTAGTAGACTAATTAATTAAAAAATTAAAAATTGTTAAAATTTTCATATTACATCAGCTAATAATATTTTAATTAAGTTGTATTGTCTATAGAGCTAAAAAGTTTTAAAGTGGCAAGTTTATTTCAATCTTAGGTATTTTAGAAAGGTTGATTTTATTGAAGTGGGATTTAAATGCATATTACACAGTATCATGGTGGATTTTTAGCTCGACTATTCGAAGAATATGAAAGCTATTGTAGTCACCCCGACGTCGGCGTCTGCGTTGGTTAAAGTTTTTAGCTCACCTGAGCATATGCTCAGGGTGAGCTATTAGGATCACTCTTCGTCCGTCGTCCGTTGTCCGTTCACACTTTTCAAACGACATCTCCTCTGAAACCATAAGGCAGATCATAATGAAACTTCACAGGGATGTTCCCTGTGTGAAGCCTTAACAAAGTTGTTCAAAGAATTCCATTCCATGCAGAACTCTGATTGCCATGGCAACCAAAAGAAAAAACTTTAAACATCTTCTTCTAGAAAACCCAAAGAGCCAGAGCTTAGATATTTGGCATGAAACATCTTCTAGTGAGTGTCTACCAAGATTGTTCAAATAAAAGCCCTGGGGTAAAAATTGGCCCCGCCCCAGGGGGTCATTGATTTTCCCTATATGCATATAGTAAAAAACTTAAAAAAATCTTCTTTTAAAGAACCCAAAGAGCTAGACCTAACATATTAAGCATGAAAATCATCTTCTAATGAGTGTCTACCAAGATTGTTGAAATAAAAGCCCTGGGGTCAAAAATTGGCCCCCGCCCCAGGGGGTCATTGATTTTCCTTATATGCATATAGTAAAAACTTTAAAAACTTCTTCTAAAAAAACCCAAAGAGCTAGAGCTTAGATATTTGGCATGAAACATGTTCTAACAGATGTCTACCAAGTTTGTTCAAATAAAAGCCCTGGGTCAAAATTGGCCCCGCCCCAGGGGGTCATTGATTTTCCCAATATGCATATAGTAAAAACTTAAAAAATCCTCTTTTAAAGAACCCAAAGAGCTAGGACCTAAGATATTAAGCATGAAACATCTTTCTAATAAGTGTCTATCAAGATTGTTCAAATAAAAGCCCTGGGGTCAAAATTGGCCCCGCCCCAGGGTCATTGATTTTCCCTATATGCAATATAGTAAAAACTTAAAAAAATCTTCTTCTGAAAAACCCAAGGAGCTAGAGCTTAGATATTTGGCAAATGAAACATGTTCTAATGGATGTCTTCCAAGTTTGTTCAAATAAAAGCCCTGGGGTCAAAATTGGCCCAGCCCCAGGGGGTCATTGATTTTCCCTATATGCATATAGTAAAAACTTAAAAAAATTCTTTTAAAGAAACCCAAAGAGCTAGAGCTAAGATATTAAGCATGAAACATCTTCTAATCAGTGTCTACCAAGTTTGTTCAAATAAAAGCCCTGGGGTCAAAATTGGCCCAGCCCCAGGGGGTCATTGATTTTCCCTATATGCATATAGTAAAAAACTTTAAAAAATCTTCTTTTAAAGAACCCAAAGAGCTAGAGCTAAGATATTTAGCATGAAACATCTTCTAATGAGTGTCTACCAAGATTGTTCAAATAAAAGCCCTGGGGTCATAATTGGCCCAGCCCCAGGGGTCATTGATTTTCCCTATATACATGTAGAAAAAACTTTAAAATTTTCTTTTAAAGAACCCAAAGAGCTAAAGCTAAGATATTTAGCATGACACATCTTCTAATGGGTGTCTACCAAATTTGTTCAAATAAAAGCCCTGGGGTCAAAATTGGCCCCGCCCCCAGGGGTCATTGATTTTCCCTATATACATAGAGTAAAAAAGTTAAAAATCTTCTATTAAAGAACCCAAAGAGCTAGAGCTAAGAATTTAGCATGAAACATGTTCTAATGGATGTTTACCAAGTTTGTTCAAATAAAAGCCTTTGGGTCAAAAATTGGCCCCGCCCTAGGGGGTCATTGATTTTCCCTATATTGCATATTATAGTAATTAAAAACTTAAAAATCTTCTTTTAAAGAACCCAAAGAGCTAGAGCTAAGATATTTAGCATGAAACATTTCTAATGGGTGTCTACCAAGTTTGTTCAAATAAAAGCCCTTGGGTTAAAATTGGCCCTGCCAGGGGGAGGGGGGGGCAAAAGTCATTGTTTTTCATTATTTGTGTATAGCAAAAACTTAACATCATGAAACATCTTCTAATGGGTGTCTTCCAAGTTTGTTCAAATAAAAGCCCTTTGGTTTAAACTGGCCCCGCCCTGGGGGCCTATGTACAGGTGAGCGACCCCAGGGCCATCATGGCCCTCTTGTTTGTAAATTCAAATATCTCAATTATTGCTTGAGATATTCAGTTGAAACTTACAATACTTATTTATAGTACCAATGTACATCAGATTGACAAGTTGGATAACTCTGCCTATAATATTTACAGAATAATGCCCCTTTATAACTTAGAAATTTTGGTTAAAGTTTTTTTGTAAAGTCAAATATCTCAATTATTGCTTGAGATATTCAATCGAAATTTACAATACTTTTTTAGCTCGACTTTTTTTTTTTTTTGAAAAAAAAAGTAGAGGTATTGTTATAGTCGGGTCGGCGTTGCCGTTGCCGTTCCCATTGCCGTCCGCAAACTTGTACCTGGATCATAACTTTTTTTATTTCTTGGGGTATTGTCTTCATACTTGGCCACAACAACCCTTGGGACAAGACCTTTCAGTAGACCACACTAACCTTGACCTTCATCCATAAATAACCTTGACCTTCAAGGTTAAAAGTCCCAATTTTTGCTTGTTCATGCTGTTATTGGCTGTAAACTTTTGTTATTTTTGAATGGATTGTCTTCAAACTTGAACATAATAATCTTCAAGGATATCCCTTAAAAATAACCAGCCAGACCTTGACCTTCACTCATAAATGCCCTTGACTTTAAAGGTCAAATTATTGAAATTTTCATTTTTTTGGCTATTATTGGCTGTAACTTTGTTATTTTTGAATGGATTGTCTTGAAACTTAATAATCTTCAAAGATAACTGTTAAAAATTATACCGAAAGACCTTGACTTCATTCATTAATGACATTGTCTTTGAAGGTCAAATTATTGAAATTTTTCATTGTTTTTGGCGGTAACTGACTGTAACTTTGCTATTATTGAAGGGATCAACTTCATATTATAACAGAACAGATCTATCATCATCATCATCATCATCAACAACAAAACAACAACAGTGTTTCTATTTATAGAATTGCGTAATGTTTCTATTTATATAATTGAGTAATGTTAATATTATTATAGAAATTGCGTAATGTTTCTATTTATGGAAATTGCGTAATGTTTCTATTTATTGAAATTGCGTAATGTTTCTATTTATGGAAATTGCGTAATGTTTCTATTTATGGAAATTATTCTATTTTTAGAAATTGCGTAATGTTTCTATTTTTAGAAATTGCTTTATGTTTCTTTTTTTAGTAATTGCGTAATTTTTCTATTTTTTGTAATTTCGTAATGTTTTTATTTTTAGAAATTGCGTGATGTTTCTATTTTTAGAAATTCCGTAATGTTGCTATTTTTAGAAATTGCGTAATGTCGCTATTTTTAGAAATTGCGTAATGTTTCTATTTTTAGAAATTGCGTAATGTTTCTATTTTTAGCTCACCTGTCACAAAGTGACAGGGTGAGCTTTTGTGATCGCTTTTCGTCCGGCGTCCGTCCGTTCGTCGTCCGTCCGTCGTCCGTCCGTCGTCCGTCCGTCCGTAAACTTTTACTTTAAATGACATCTCCTCATAAACCACTAAGCCAATTTCATCCAAACTTCACAGGAATGTTCCTTTGGTGGTCACCTTTTAAAAATTGTTCAAAGAATTTAATTCCATGCAGAACTCTGGTTGCCATGGCAACCGAAAGAAAAAACTTTAAATATCTTCTTTTAAAAAACCATAAGAGCTAGAGCTTAGATATTTGGCATGAAACATCTTCTAGTGTGTTTCTACCAAGTTTGTTCAAATAAAAGCCCTGGGGTCAAAATTGGCCCCGCCCCGGGGGGTCATTGATTTTCCCTATATGCATATAGTAAAAACTTAAAAAATCTTCTTTTAAAGAACCCAAAGAGCTAGAGCTAAGATATTTAGCAATGAAACATGTTCTAATGGTGTCTACCAAGTTTGTTCAAATAAAAGCCCTGGGTCAAAATTGGCCCGCCCCGGGGGTCATTGATTTTTCCTATATGCATATAGTAAAAACTTAAAAAATCTTCTTTTAAAGAACTCAAAGAGCTATGGCTAAGATATTGAGCATCAAACATGTTCTAATAGGTGTCTACCAAGTTTGTTCAAATAAAAGCCGTGGGGTCAAAATTTGGCCCCGCCCCAGGGGGTCATTGATTTTCCCCTATATGCATATAGTAAAAAATCTTCTTTTAAAAACCCAAAGAGTTAAAGCTAAGATATTTGGCATGAAACATGTTATAATAAGTGTCTACCAAGTTTGTTCAAATAAAAGCCCTGGGGTCAAAATTGGCCCCGCCCCAGGGGTGTCATTGTTTTTAACTATATGTGTATAGTAAAAACTTTAAAAAAATCTTCTTTTAAAAAGCCCAATGAGCTAGAGCATAGATGTTTAGCATGAAACATCTTCTTATGGGTGTCTACCAAGTTTGGGTGCAATATAAAAGCCCTTGGGTTAAAATTGGCCCTACAAACGTTGTGGGGGGGTGGGGGCCTACATACAGGTGAGCGATCTCAGGGCCATCATGGCCCTCTTGTTTAGACATTGATGTTCTATTTTTTAGAAATTGATGTTTGTATTTTTAGAAATTGCTTAATGTTTCTATTTTTGGAATATGCCGTAATGTTGCTATTTTAGAAATTGCGTAATGTTGCTATTTTTAGAAATTGTGTAATGTTCTATTTTAGAAAATTGCGTAATGTTTCTATTTTTAGAAATTGCGTAATGTTTCTTATTTTGGTAATTGCGTAATGTTTCTATTTTTAGAAATGTTTCTATATTTAGTAATTGCGTAATGTTTCTATCTTTAGAAATTGGCGTAATGTTTCATTTTTAGAAAATTGTGTAATGTTTCTTTTTTAGAAAATTGATGTTTCTATTTTTAGATAATTGCGTAATGTTTCTATTTTTAGAAATTGTGTAATGTTGCTATTTTTAGAAATTGCGTAATGTTTCTATTTTTAGAAAATTGCGTAATGTTTTCTATTTTTAGAAATTGGCGTGTTTCTAATTTATAGAATTGCGTGTTTTCTATTCATATAATATATACAAAATAGATAAACAAAACTAATGTGACAAGACAGACCAACTAAATTTATAAAAAAAGGAAACGTTAAGAAATAATGTTCAAACCTTTCTATGTTTTGCGTTTTAGAAAAAGTAAAAAGTCGAGCCTTGCCCCTGCCCGGCAGTGGCTCTTGTTAAAAGTAACAATGGTCATCAGTTTGGCAAAAATTGCATAACTCTCTGCCTGCAAATTTGCAGAGTTATTTGCCCTTTGAAACTTAGAAATTTTTGGTAAAGATTATTTACTTGAAACTTTACACATGTACTTTAGGGTCATAATTGGAGAGTCATTTATTGTATGTTCAAAATGACCAAGTTTAGATAACTCTAATCTCAACATTTAGGCTGATTCATCTCCCCTTTTCTACTTAGTCTCTAGGTTAATGTTTACATGCACAGTTTTACATATCTCAATAAAGTATTTAAAGATATTTATTTAAAACCTTTCACATATACATTTAGAATTTTAATTGTAGGTCACTGACCAAGATCCATAATTCTATCTTGCATTTAGGCTGAATTTTCTCCCCCTTTTTCAACTTAGAAATTCATGGAAAAGTTTTGCTTGAAAAGCTGTTTTTCCCATAAACTACTAAAGATTTTGTGTTTTTGGGGGAAATTTTTTTAGGGCCTTTAAATTAAAAATTAAAGCAGAAATTTTTAATTTTGAAAAAATCATTTTAAAAAAACCCCTTTGTCCCTTTTTTGTCAATTTTATTTTTCCATAGGAAACTAGCATTTTTAAATACTAAAATAAAATTTTTTTTTAAATAGTCGAGCCTCTGCCCCTCCCATTTTTTTAGTTTGGTTTAAAAAGGGACCATTTTTAAGGGACTTAAAATGTTTTAAATTTTTAAAATTCCAGAAAAGAAATTTAAACTAAATCATTGCTCTAAAATTTTGTTTTGTTTAAAGGGAAAATAAAAATCGGGGCTTGATTTTTTTTTAACTTTAAATAAAATTTTTTAATTATTGTTGAATGGAATCTTTAAAACTTGAAAAAATTTTTTTTTTTAAAAAAATCACCTACAGAGCTAAAATAAAAGAGAAAAGGATGTAAAACTAATTCAAATATGATTTTAGAAGTCTCATCAACTTTCCTCAGGTTTTTAAAAGGTTTAGAGGTTTCTAAGATGAGCTTTTTGGGCCATCTTGTTTTCTGGGTTTGATGTGTTTAAGGACTTTCTTCATGCACATGATCATAAAACATGCAGAATATTTAAAAAAAAGAAAAGAACATAAAACAAGCCAGTGCCTTTGAGTAGGCACAAAAAGAAAGTCTTATGTATAAAATTTATTTATTGACAGGATATTACAGAAGCACAGCATGAAAATGACAAAAAAGACACAAAAATCAAAGGTAATTTCTATACTACATGTATACATTCATATTAAAGTGTATAAAACTTCCATGAAGGTTATTTCTTCCGTATCACAGCTCATTCATTATTTTCCTGTAACATAGAATAGTAGCACACTATTTAGAAGGAAATATCCTCAAATGAAGTAAAGGGGGTTATATAGAAGTCAGCTTGTTGTTCGGTCAGTCACCTTCATGGTTTCCGGATGATTACTTTAGTTTAGAATAAAGTAATCAAACCTTATATAGCAACCTTATGTGAAGACCCTGGTTGGTATTGCTTTTGGACCCCCTGGACCAAGGTCAAGGTCACTGTTACTAAAAATAGAAAATGGTTTCCAGACAAAATCTGGAGTTTGGAATGAGATATTGTAATCAACTTTGGTATATAGCAAGCTTATGTTAAATTTAAGACCCATGGTTTCTGGACAATAAAGTTATTACTCTAGTTCAAGAGTTACGAATGAGATATTTTGATAAAATTTGATATACAAATGTATAGCAAGCTTTCAAATCCCAGGTTGGGATTGCTTTTGGACCCCCTGTTGTCAAGGTAACCGTTACTAAAATAGAAAAAATTGTTTCCAGGCAAAAACTATATTTTTAAATCAGATATTGAAAAAAATCTTGGTATATAGCAAGCTTATGTGAAGACACTGGCTGGTATTGCTTTAGGGCCCCCTGGGGTCAACTAGGTCCCTGTTACTATAAATAGAAAAATGGTTTTCTGACAATTAATACAGTTAGGAATGAGATATTATTATCAAATTTAGTGTAAAAAAAGCTGAAGACCATGGTTGGGATTGCAATTAATTAAAATAATTCTTTGTAAATGGTTGAAACTTCATAAATTATAGGTTGAGTTCAAATTTTCCTTCAGACCACTTATTTTTCAAAAAGTCAGGGTTGCTGGTGGAGGTATTAATAACCTTCATTGACAGCTTTATTTTTTATGCTCCCCGAAGAATTTAGGAGGAGCATATAGTCGGAGCCTTGTCCGTCCGTCTGTCCTTCCGTTGTCTTGTCCAGAGCATAACTTGAAAACCCTTGGAGATAATTTGTTGAAATTTCATACAGTGGTAGAGGGCATTGAGAAGGAGTGCAGTGTCAAAGAACCATAACTCTATTTTGCCCGGTTTTTGAATTATCTCCCCTTATAGAAAAATCTTGTCCGGGGCATAACTATAAAACTGTAAGAGATATCAACATGAAACTTTGTAGGTGAATAGATCTCAATGGGTAGATGTGCAATGCTTAAACCTGCAACTTGACTATTTAAGCCACTAGATGGCGCTGGGGCAGATTTTCATGGTATTTTTGACATGCTTCACATCTAAGAGCCCTTTTTTGAAATAGTGAAATAACCAAGAAGTATTTTGCCTAAAAACTTTTTGTATAACTTCTTTGCAACATTTGAAATAAAATGGCAGAGAAAATTTCATGAAAAAATCACTTAAATGTACTTTGTCAAAAAAATATCAGTTAACTGTCAAAAATTTGAAAATCCCGGGGCGGAGTTAATGGGGTCATGAACTGCAGGTTGTAAACAAATACACGTGGCAGTGTTTACTTTCCTGTAGAAGCTTGAAATATTACTCTTGGCATCTGTTTGGGAAGTGAGCTGATCAGTTATAACACGATTAAATGTTATCACACATACCTGTTGCAGATTTATTCTTTATTCTAATATTCCTATTAATGTGATCATACTAGTTATGAAACAACATAATCCAGGATGATTTAAAAAATGAATGATAACTGTAAATTGATTAAATTGTGTCACTTTTCATATCCATTTAGTGTACTGTAAATATTATTGTTATATATCATATACAGTGTACAGAAACACGATCACATCCCTCTGCTTTGAAAGTTTCTAATTAAATATTTGAAGTGTTTTCTTGTCCATCAATATTATGTTATTAACGATCATTTGCTCTTTTTTTAGCTCACCTGTCACAAAGTGACAGGGTGAGCTTTTGTGATCGCTTTTCGTCCGGCGTCCGGCCGTAAACTTTTGCTTTAAATGACATCTCCTCATAAACCACTGAGCCAATTTCATCCAAACTTCACAGGAATGATCCTTTGGTGGTCTCCTTTAAAAATTGTTCAATAGAATTAAATTCACAATGCAGATACTCTGGTGACCATGGCAACCGAAGAAAAATCTTTAAATATCTTCTTTTAAACAACCCTAATAGCTAGAGCTTAGATATTTGCATGAAAACATCTTCTAATGAGTGTCTACCAAGTTTTGTTTCAAAATAAAAGCCCCTGGGGTCAAAATTGGCCCCGCCCCAGGGGGTCATAAGATTTTTCCCTATAATGCATATATGAAAAAATCAACTTAAAAAAAATCTTCTTTTAAAGAATCCCAAAAGAGCTAGAGCTTAGATATTTGGCAATGAAAACAATCTTCTAGTGAATGGTCTACGCAAGTTTGTTTCAAAGAGAAAAGCCCCTGGGGTCAAAATTGGCCCCGCCCCAGGGGGTCATTGATTTTTCCCATAATATGCATAAAAAATCTTCTTTGTAAAGAACCCAAAGAGCTTAGAGCTAAAGATATTTAGCATGAAACATCTTCTAGATGAGTGTCTACCGAAGTTTGTTCAAATAAAAAAGCCCTGAGGTCAAGAATTGGCCCTGCCCAGGGGGTCATAGATTTTCCCTATATGCATATAGTAAAAACCTTAAAAAATCTTCCTTTTTAAGAACTCCAAAGAGCTAGAGCTAAGATATTTGGCATGAAACATCTTCTAGTGAGTGTCTACTAAGTTTGTTCAAATAAAGCAACATGGGTCAAAAATTTGGCCCCGCCCCAGGGGGTCAATTGATTTTCCCTATATGCATATTGTAAAAACTTAAAAAATCTTCTTTTAAATGAACCCAAAGAGCCAGAGCTAAGATATTTAGCATGAAACATGTTCTAATGGGTGTCTACCAAGTAATGTTCCCAAATAAAAGCCCTGAGGTCAAAACTGGCCCCGCCCCGGGGGTCATTGAATTTTTTCCTTATATGTGTAATAGCAAAAACTTATAAAATCTTCTTTGAAAAAACCAAAATAGCTAGATGTTTAGATATTAAGCATGAAAACATCTTTAAGTAAATATCTACAACGTTTGTTCAAAATAAAAGCCCAGGGGTCAAAACTGGCCCTGCCCCAGGGGTTGTCATTGTTTTGATACTATATGTGTATAGTAAAACTTAAAGAAAAATTTCTTTTAAAAAACCCAATGAGCTACGAACTTGAGATGTTTAGCATGAAACATCCTTTCTTATTCGGGTGGTTCCTACCATAAGTCTGTTCCAAATAAAAACAAATAAAAGCCTTGGGTAAAAATTGGCCCGGGGGGGGGGGGGGCTATATACAGGTGAGCGACCTCAGGGCCATCATGGCCCTCTGGTTTAGTTGTTTTGTTTTGTTTTCTACTTGACTGTATACAAAAAAATACTGTCTTTACTTTTAGAATCCCTTTGTATATCAATATCTCTTTGATAACTATTTTATATTCCTTCTGTTATTTCTTTCTACTAAGCAGTGATTCAAACAATATATTTCTTAATTTTATTGTATTCAATATCGCAGCTTATTTACTAATCAAGTTTCCCTCCAAATTTACATTGTGTATCACCACAGCAAAATTAATGTTTATTGAAATACTACACCAAGTCTGAGATAAGGTATCATCACCCCATTATTATTCTTGCAATTAACACTGGGAAATGTCCGAGTGGCCTAGTATCACAAGGAACAGAGCTCATTGTTAAAAGTGTCAGTAAACTGAAAGTGTTATTGAAGATTATTGTAATTCATTAATAAAAATTTGTGCATAACAATGGATAATCCACAACAACAAGGTTTAAAACGCATCCGTGATGAAATGAAACAACAATCTCGCATGTTTCCTTCTTGCTCCAAAGAAGCACGAAAAGAATCAAACAAGAAGCAGAAGCAGACTCAAACACTGCTAAGGGGTCGTCTTGAGTTTTATTATAAGACTGAAAATGAAAAAACAGAATTACTTAACAAAATGGATAGACTAAAATTGTTCCTAGGCGAAGGAAAACTGAATAGAGTATCAACTTTTCAGTTGTTAAATAAGGTGTTCGACTTTTTTTATAAATGAAAACATTCCGTCAGAAAGAGGTCCACGCAATGATACTTACTTTGAAGGGACTACTTACCAATTCATTGAAAAGGATAGGGCAGTTGATGATCAACTTTTTGTTGGTTCATTTAGTTCTGTTGAAAAACTTGTGAGGTCTGTGGAATCTCACACCGATAAGTGCAATGGTAACATTACAATAAAAAATTATCAAATGCTTAAACATGTTTTGTCTATGGATATGCAATGTGAAAATGAAAAACACTTTTGGAATTGGACCTCATCCCCTCATATTGAACAAGGACGGTTTTTAGTAAATACCAGGCTAGCTCATGGATACTTTTCATCTGGTATGTTACCAAACCACTTTACGAAGTTCTGTGATGGTGCAAACATTGGAAATATGGGAGAACATTACATTACAAAATTTCAAAGCACCTACCAAGAACTTATTTCTAGACTGGCTTCAGAATCAAAACATGGAGCCCTACAGGAGGAAATAGCCATGACATGTGCTGCTATGAGTGATGATGAAATGGCCCAGGGAATAAATATCTTGACTGATGCTAGACATTGCTGGAGGAAAAATGCAGTTTTCAGTGATGTTGTTTGCATGGGACAAGCTACACATAAAGTTTTGGATATACAAACAATATCTAAGAAAGATGATGACCCATGCTCTCAAAGACATGAGCTCTTAGGTGTTAAGCGTATTTATCAAGCTTTAGATGAGCAGGCATGTCCAGTTACTATCCATGCTCATGACAACAATAACCAAATTACGAAATATGTGCGTGAAGAAAGAAATCCAACCTGTAATGCTATAGACACCTGGCACATGACAAAATCAATTTCCAAAACTGCAAAACGAATAACTTCTGGGCTTAGACAAAATCATGGGAAAACTTGGCACGAAGAGCTATCGGACAAAGCAGCTGCTCTAAGAACACATATTTACTATTCCATGAAAAATAGTGACAAAAATGCTGAAAAACTTCGAGCTAACATATAAATTTTGTGGAGCATTATCAAGGTCACCATGACAGTTGCTTGTCAACATCAAGATGTAAAACAGATGTGAACTATGAATGTTCTAAATTCCTGCTGAAAAGTGATAGAGCTGTTGAAATTTTGACCAATTTTTTGAAAGGACTGCCAGTTTATAAAGAAGCAGACAAATATAAGTATTGTATGGACACACATTATGTGGAGTCTTTCAACAATGCTTTATTACAATTTGTTGACTTAGGTTTTCCCACATACAAATTAAGGATCGACTTGGCATTACTGGACTGGAATGAAAACATAAATAGGGATTCTACATCTGAGAGAACTGTTAGCTATAAAAGAAATCCAGAAATGACATACAAAATTCCTGTTAAAAAAGCAAAAACATTTCATTACAAAGAAAAAATTTGGAATAAATGGATTGAAATGTTGTACAATGCATAGCATGGTGAATAAATGTTATCGTCTGCTATAGTGTTTGTTTACATCAGCTAAATTTAGCACAGGTACAGCGTCCTCTCTATGAGTGATGGCTAGTTTATCTGATAAACAGGCCTACAAAATTCTCCCTACCAGGGCAGGGATTTTTGCGGCTTTAAGAAAAATAACTCTTTTTATCCTAATTTTGGAGTTATTGCCCTTTGTTAATTTTAACACTTTGAACTTTGTCCGGAACATAACTCTATAAAATTAAAAGAGTATCAAGAATGGAAAACATTGTAGTTAGATATCATCTCATTGAGTAGAGTTTGAAGTCTAATAGCCATACTCTGTTAAGCCTCATTTTTGAATTATCTTTTAGAAAAATCTTGTCCTGGACATAGCTGTAAAACTATAAGAGATATCAACATGAAACGTTGTAGGTTGATATATCTCAACGGGTAGATTTGCAGTGCACAAGAATCATAACTCTGCCTTGCCTAATTCTGGAGTTATTGCTCTTTGTTTATTTTTATCCCCTGCCGAAAAGGCGGCGGGGGATAAAGAAATAGTCTCCGTCCGACCTTCTGTTCTTCCGTCTGTCGTCCTTCCGTCCGACATTTTTGTCCGGAGCATATCTCTAAAAGTATTTGAGTTATCAACTTGAAACTTCATAGGTGGATAGACCTTATTGAGGAGGATTGCAGTGCACAAGAATGATAACTCTACCTTTCATAATTTTTGAGTTATTGCCCTTTGTTATTTTTCATACCTAATTTTTCACCCGAGTGGAGCATAACTCAAAAGTGTTTGAGATGTCAACATGAAATGTCATAGGTGGATAGATTTTATTGAGGGAGGAATGCTGTGCACAAGAATGAATAACTCTTCCCTGTACAATTTTTGAAGTTATTGCCCTTTGTTCTTTTTTCATACATTTTGTCCGGAGCTTATCTCAAAAAGTTTTGAGGTATCAACTTTGAAACTTCATAGGTGGATGAATCTCATTGAGGAAGAGTGCAGTGCACAAGAACGATAAACACTACTTGCAATAATTGTTTAGTTATTGCCTTTTTTATTTTTCAAATTAATTTTTTGTCCAGAGCATAACTCAAAAGGCCTTTGAGATATCATTATGAAACTTCATAGGTGCATAGATCTCACTCAGGAGGTGTGCAGTGCGCAAGAATGATAACTCTACCTTTTATAATTTTTGAGTTATTGCCCTTTGTTATTATGCCACTGCAGCATCTGCGATGCGGTGGCATATAGCGATTCACCTGTGTGTGTGTTTGTTTGTGTGTGTGTGTGTGTGTGTGTGTGTTATATAGATTATATAGTGAACCTAAAAAATCTTCTTGTGAAAAACCACTTGTCCAATTTCAACCAAACTTTGCAGGATTGATCCTTGGGTGAAGGCCTTCCAAAGTTGTTCAAAGAATTTCATTCCATGCAGAATTCTGGTTGCCATAGCAACCAAAAGGAATTATAAGAATAAATTTAAAAAATCTTCTTGTAAAGACCCAAAAGGCCTAGAGCTTAGATATTTTGCATAAGGCATTGTCTGGTAGACCTCTACCAAGATTGTTCAAATTATAGCCCTGGGGTCCAAATTAGCCCCGCCCCAGGGGTCATTGATTTTCACCATATGTACATATAGTAAAAACTTAAAATACCTTCTTGTCTGAAGGTACCAGGCTTAGAGGTTTGATATTTGGTATGTGTTATTATCTATAGGTACTCTACCAAAGTTGTTCAAATTTTGCCTCTAGTGTCAAAATTAGCCCTGCCCCGGGGGGTCATAGGTTTTCCTCATATGTATATAGTAAAAACTTAAAAAATCATCTTCTCTAAATTGACAAAGGCTAGAGGTTAGATATTTTGCATGAAACATTGTGTAGTGAACCTCTAGCAAGATTGAACAAATTATAGCCCTGGGGTCAAAATTGGCCCCACCCCCGGGGGTCATTGATTTTCACTATGTACATATAGTAAAAAATTAAAAAATCTTATTGTCTGAAGGTACAAGGCTTAGAGCTTTGATATTTGGTATATGATATCATCTATAGGTACTCTACCAAAGTTGTTCAAATTTTGCCTCTAGTGTCAAAACTAGCCCTGCCCCTGGGTAATAGGTTTTCTTTACATGTATATAGTAAAAACTTTAAAAAATCACCTTCTCGAATTGACAAAGGCTAGAGGTGAGACATTTTGCAGTAAACATTGTGTAGTGAAACTTTAGCAAGATTATTCAAATTAAAGCCCTTGGGTCAAAACAAAAAAAATTTGTTCCTACATTACTATTTTAGTGTTGTATTTATGCAGTGGCATAGCATTTTTTACAAATGCAATCTTGTTTTTCATACTTAATTTTTCAATTCAATTTTTTTCTCAAAAAGTATTTGAGGTATCAACTTGAAACTTCATAGGTGGATAGATTTTACTGAGGAGGGATGCAGCACACAAGAATGATAACCTACCCTGCATTATTTTTCAGTTATTGCCCTTTGTTATTTTCAGCCATCAGTATTCACATAGGTTTCAAATCTGTAATCACTATAGCCATCAGTTTTCATTACCAAAAGACCTCTTAAAATGGAATGATTCTGCTCTACTACATATACATTCTTCCAATGAGCAAACACATTCGGCGGGGATGGCCATGTTGACATGGCTCTTGTCACTTTTTGAAGTTGTCCGGGACATAACTCGGAAATCATAAGAGATTTCATCAAGAAACTTTGTAGGTTGATAGGTCAGATTGATTAGAAGTGCAGTGCAAAAATCAGTAACTCTGGCTTGCCTAATTTTTGAATTATTGCACTTTGAACTTTTTCCAGGGACATAACTCTGAAACTACAAGAGGTGTACTTTCCTGTGTCCAAGACCTATTCGGGGAGCATCACCCGACTCAAACCGGGCTCTTGTTTTTTAATTTATTTATTTGTTTTTTAATATTTTTTTCTTAAATAATATTTTCTTTAAAATTGTGCCCTTTAGTATTGATAAGACAAAAGAAATGGTATTTACAAATATGACCTGCTTATATACTCAAAGTGTAAACATTAATGAACATTTTTCTATTGATACAATTTAACTGCTCAAATTTGACTTTTTATATGTCTTGGATAAATTCAATTAAATATTAATAAATACAATGCAGGAAAAGTTCTTTACACAGTCACATAAATTAGTGGATTACATTTAAACAATATGAACAACATTTTACATATATTTGATGAAATTGAAATTGGTTTCAATTTATTATTTTATCCCCCCCCCCCCCCCCTCTTAACATCATGAACAGCATTTTGAAAATATTATTTAATGAAATTGGTTTTAATTTAATATTACCTCTCCCCCACTTAACAATTTGAACAGCATTTTACAAATATTTGATGAAATTTGTTTCAATTGATCATACCCCCCTCCCTGCTGAAGTGGAAAGGAATATTAGAAATGGTCTCTGTCTGTGTGTCTGTCCCAATTTTGTTGGGAGCAACATTAATAAAGTTTTGCAAACCTAGTCTTCATTGCCTTATTCTTTTTCCACTTATTTGTGGATTTCCTCTGGTCAAGTAGAATGTACAAAAGTACAACCTAAAGGTAACTTCTTACTGGTGGGGAATCAATAATAATATGGCTCTTGTTATATCTTTGAAAAGATCTGAATGGATAAATGATACACATATTATGTCACATGCTTTATTTATTTTTACAACATTATGCTTTTCAGGAACTACTTCGGGTAAAATGTAAGTATAATAAATCTTTATCATTTAAAGCTACAACTGCATCTATGATTTAAATACTAGATATCTAATTAAAATGATATTTGAGCCGCGTCACGACAAAACCAACATAATGGGTTTGCGACCATCATGGATCCAGACCAGCCTGTGCATCCGCACAGTCTGATCAGGATCCATGCTGTTCGCTTACAAACCCTATAACAAGTAGAGAAACTGATAGCGAACAGTATGGATCCTGATCAGCCTGCGCGTATGCGCAGGCTGGTCTTGATCCATGCTGGTCGCAAACCCATTATATTGGTTTTGTCATAACGCGGCTCATTTATTTTATGATCATAATATTCTTAAAAAACAGTAAAATTGAAATCCTTGTCTTAGGAACGTAAGGCTCTGAAGGTAATTGATACATGATAATATCCAGTTTTATGTCCTACATGTCTAGCAACAGTCTTATGGTAGTGTCATCTGAACAAGGAAAAATTTAAACATCTTAAAGTGCATATTTTTTTAGTGGAAATTAGATATAGTTAGCATTAAGTATGTTAGCAGTTGAAGAATGGAATGCTAAAATTCTATACATTCTTTAGATTAAAAACTTTTTCCTTTTTTTTAGATTCATTGAGCCATCATCAATATTTGCAAAATATGTTGAAGTGCACAATATCCCAGAGGGACTAAGCAAAAAACAACTGATATTAGACTTGTTTATGGGCGGAGAGTTTCCCATAAGACCCCCAAAACTTGTATATAATGTGGGAAGCAGCAAAGCCCTGCTCATTTGTCACCGTGAACAAGGTAATTATACAGTATTAGATGTACGCACGTACATTTTTAGCACATTCATCCAGTCATGACCAGCATCACTTTTTTAACCAGGTTTTCCGAAGGAAAAAACTAGTTATTAGATTGAGGTATGTCGGCGGGCGGATGGGCGGACGGACGGGCGGGCGGGCGTAAACAATTTCTTCTGTGCGCAACTCCTCCTACATTTCTCAACGGATTTTGACCAAACTTTCACAGAAGCTTTGTCATCAAGTGCCCTGGCGCATATTGTCGGGGTTTTGCGATTAGATAATATTTGACCTAATTATGGCCCTTTGTTTTTTTTCCTTATATAAAATATATAGTGAACAATTTCTTCTGTGCGCAACTCCTACATTTCTCAACGGATTTTGACCAAACTTTCTCAGAAGCTTTGTCATCAAGTGCCCTGACACATATTGCCAGGGTTTTGCAATTGGTATATATTTGACCTAATTATGGCCCTTTGTTTTTTTCCTTATATAGAATATATAGTGAACAATTTCTTCTGTGCGCAACTCCTCCTACATTTCTCAACGGATTTTGACCAAACTTTCTTAGAAGCTTTGTTATCAAGTGCCTGGGACATATTGTCGGGGTTTTGTGATTGGATAATATTTGACCAAATTATGGCCCTTTGTATATTTTTTCCTTATACAGAATATATAGTGAACAATTTCTACAGTGCGCAACTTCTCCTACATTTCTCAATGGATTTTGACCAAACTTTCACAGAAACTTTGTCATCAAGTGCCCTGGCGCTCACTAAATTCCCATGTTTCTTCCAAGACATCATTCAAGTATTTTTTTAAAATTGTGAACATACTTTTCTTGATATCGCACAAAACACCACACGCCAATATTGTTGACAAAAGAAAATGACAAGAGACGCAAAAATGCAAAAATTAAGCAAAAATAAAGTACTGTTTACCTTTCTAAAATATTTGGGAAAAAAAGGCGAATAGACAACATTAAAATTTCTCAATCATTTTTGTTTGAGGAATATTAAAAGAGCCATAATTCCTCCTAAAAGTTCAATTAAAAACAAATGCCCCTTCATGACAAAGCTTCTGTGAAATATTTTGCTGAAAACCTGGTTGCATCGCATTGCGATGTTCCTTGTGATTAAGTTTCGAATACCAGCTTACTTTTGTCACTTCCTGTTAAGAGTTGCTTTTGAAACTTAACTAACAAAGTTCTTTGTGACCATTTCCATTATTCTACAACAATGCATTCGCCCTTCTTATTATCTCCCTGTGTATTTTCAAAGCAACACATTGAGGGCGCCATTTTGTTTGAAAAGTTTGATCAATAAAAAACAATTATTTTTTTTGTAGAATTTTGTTGCGAAAACTATCTAGAATGAAAGAAAAATGGTCTAACTAAGAAAATGGATCCGAACACCAATATCTTTAATTCAGTTGTTAATGCTGTACAGACGTCTAAAGTATTGTTTACGTGGAGTCACAATGTAGCGCCAAACAGCACATGAAAAAATAATCAAATCAAGAACGCTATTTCAATGTCGTAAATTAGTTAAATATAACATTTATTTCACTATTAATACTTTTTTATTGCAAAAAAAAATATTCAATGAAATAAAATAAACTAACAAAGTTTTATCAAGGTTTTCAAAATTTGTTATTCTCAAAATGTTTCTAAACACGGTAGATTTAACTAACGTTTATTTTTTCAAACCAATGGAACAGCCTTTAAAGAACATTTGGAAACTCTGAGGTGAAAACAAATTTAACCACCAAACATAGACTTTATAATCATAATTATATTGTTTCTTGACGTGTTAGAATGGAAATAGATATTAATTCTTCTTGCATTATTGAATAATAATGCACATTTTTCATTCAAATGTTTTGTAATTAATCACTCAGGCCTATCGGCCTTCATGATTATATTACTACCATTTGAACTCAACTCAACCCTGCGTTATTTTACAACAATGCTCTCAGAATTGATATCTATTTCGTAAATAAAATTTTTACTTACAAACTATGCCTGTTTTATCACTTTGATATAATATCTGTTTCATGCATAGTTTGTTATGCAAACAATTTGGGATGTTGATTTAAAACACAGAAGACTTCATTATAATCTTCACAACCATTTTGTAGACAGTAGAAATATGTCAGGATTTTTATCTCTGACAAGATAGTTCAACAAAATTTATTTCATTTTACTACATTACTGACTCGATGTGTCTTTCTATCTTTCATTGCAGATGCTAAAGAGCTATCAGAGTGTACAAGTCTAGTACCTTTTAAATTTTCTTCTGTAAAAGGAAAGGTAAACACATATTGAAGGCCCTTTGTTAAATCTTTTAGCTCATGATATAAAATTATAATGTTTATAGCTTAGATATTGTACATGAAGTATTGCTTTGCAGTAAGTTACGTAGTCTTTGAAGTTAAAAATCTGATGTGTCAGATTTTTCATGTGATCTGTTATGACAAATGTTGCACCAGGGGTATCCTTACCGGACCTGTGACAGTTCTAGTAGTTATTATTTTATCATATGTTATCAATATTAATTGGTAGTTGTCTTTTAAAACCTTAATATTCAGATGAGCCAACTATTTAGCAGGAATATTTTTGGGTAACTATTTAACAGGAACTCAGCAGAGCCCCATTACCATCGTAAAAGTTATCCTCAGCTTAATGTTCCAGTCTGTAACCGGATAGCCAGTATAAGATTTTGACATTCTTTTTTTGTGCCTCATACAAATTTCTATGAGAGGAAAAATTATCAAACTTGTTTTGTACTGGTCAAGGTATATAATGTATTACAATTCTGTCATAAAAAATAAAGTAGAAATGATTGTTTTAAGACTATATGAACATGTAACTTATTTGTTATTACAGGCTCTTAGTTCAGTTACTAAAACGATAGATAAAAAAACTGTTGAGAAAATGAAAAAAGATGGCAAGTATGACAAATTTAAACAGGAACTTGAAAATGCTGACATACAAATTAAAGGAGAATCACCATTTATGCTTGTTGCCCCATCAACTTTCCAGTGCTGTTATGTCTTGTCAATATTGGAAGAATTGACAGGGACTCCATCAGCGCCACATCTACCGGGTAGTATACAGGACAATGAGACGGTCACCTCTGAACATGATGGCTTTCACAAAATTGAAACGATCAAAGATGTGCAGGAAAACGTTTGGGACATTCTTTGTTGTTCAAATCAGTTAATACAAATAAAAGACAAATGCAAGGATATATCCTATGACAAAGATACATTTACTGTTATAATTGGACAGGAAGTATGCAAAGATGATTTTAAAAAGATAACTGCGATTGTAGGTAATTTACGTGCAAAGGAATGGGACGAGATACCACTTGAAGCACAGCATTGTAATAAATCTAAAGTAGACAGATGGTGTGATGAGGTTAAAGAGGTCATGTTGTATGAATGTTGCAAATATATTGATGGCAAGGTTTTAGTATATGCTAAGAACTATGATGATATAATGAAGATCAAACATCTCTTTGGTGTTAAGACCGGAAAGATCAAAACAACTGGAAAAGGGAAAAGAGGAGGAAAGGCAAGTTCTGATAAAGATGACAGACAAGTTGATACTCCTGGATCATCTGGAGCTGAAAGTAAAAGTCCAGATCGTAGAATTGATGGTAAAAACTTAAAGAAATACATCACAAAAGAGAACATATATGTTTATGTTTATGAAGCTAATATACTGAATCTTGATGTGGACTGTATTGTAAATGCTGCAAATGAAAGTCTGCAACATGGAGGAGGTGTTGCTGCAGTAATAGAAAAGGGTGCTGGCTACAAACTGAAAGAAGAAAGCAGAGATTTTGTCAGGAAGTATGGTAATTTGCCAGTCGGAAAAGCTTGTACAACTACAGCTGGGAATTTAAGCTTCGACTGTGTTATACATACAGTTGGTCCAAGATGGTCTGCCTATTCCCCACATTCAATGCAAGATGTCCAAGAGTGTCAACTGCACCTGTATCTGGCTGTATATAACAGTTTCCTAGAGGCAGAAAAAAGAGGTCTTAAGTCCATTGCATTGCCTGCAATAAGCTCAGGTAGGTAGATCTCTTCTTAAGATTGACAATATATATTTAAAATAGAGTAAAACCCCTCTATTAAAACTACCAACTGGTCTGAATCAAAAAGGTTAAATGTGAGTGGTATTATTATTATCAAAGCTTATTTATTTTGCAACAGAAGTTGAATTTTGATAATTTTTAGCTCCACTTTTTCGAAGAAAAATTTCAAGCTGTTGCTACAGTCAGGTTGTTGTTCCCATTGCTGTTACAGCCATAAAGTTTTTCTAAATGGGTTGTCTTCATACACAACATTCTTTTGAGCAAGACCTTCAAGATGACCATACTAAAGTTGACCTTGACTCACTAAGAAAAGTTTGGATGGGCCTGCTAGGTGGTGGCTCTTCCTTATGTACATTTTCATTCAATATGTATTATGTCCTTCAAAAATCTTATAACAAGAAGCAGTTACAGACTTCCAAATGCCAACCAGTAGAAAAGTTAAATAAAAAGAGAACACTCTGACATTTATATAACATATATCAAAGGAAAAGAACACAAAAAGTACAAAGCTGTTAAATGCCAGCTTTGCACCCATGCAGTTTGAAGCTAATATCTCTTTATCATTTTGAATTATAGCTTGACCAAAAAATAAAATATTTCAAATTAGGTGTGAAAAAAAGTGTGATGTGGAATGTCATTCTTGACATGTGCATGTTTCCTTACTGTGACAATTGATGTAGTTAGGCAAAATGTTTTATTATTTCTATAATCAAAACTAATATGTAATGTATATGTAATTTATATCATATTTTGGTTCTACGGACAGCTGTGATGGATAGACTAAAATTAGTTTTGGTCAGTTTCCTTCAGCTTCTCAAAAAACTTCAAATAGGTGTAATATCCTTTAATATGAATAGTAAAAACTTGTCTTAATAATTTCTATATAAAGGCATATTGAAGAGGCAAATTCATGCTAGTGAATAGAATTTTCTTACACTCAATGCATGAATGAAGAGAATCATAATTGGCAAAATAGTGTCGGTCTCTGTACTACTTTTTGAGTTATCTGCCCCAGATAATGTGTTTATATTAACTGTAAACTGAGATGAACCGAGATAAATGAGCTTTTATATAATAATGATTTTAATTTCTTTTTAAATTTGTGATTTTAAGATAGGAAACAATGTAGCTTTAAAGAGCTTTACAATACCCTAAATTTTCTGTGCATAAAAAAAAACTTTTTAAAATAAATATTTCATGCTCAATAAATCATTTTAAGGTGCACATACAGGCAAAGTTGAAATTAATTCTTTTGTAAACATTTCATTCTGCCTCTATGTCTATATGCAACTGTAGTTTTTAGCTCGACTATTCGTAGAATATGAGAGCTATTGCGTCTGCGTTGGTTAAAGTTTTTTGTAAAGTCAAATATATCAATTATTGCTTAAGATATTCAATTGAAACTTACAATACTTTTTTATAGTAACAATGTTCATCAGATTGACAAGTTGGATAACTCTGCCTGTAATATTTATAGAATTATGCCCCTTTTTAACATAAAATTTTGGTTAAAGTTTTTTTGTAAAGTCAAATATCTCAATTATTGCTTGAGATATTCAATTGAAATTTACAATACTTTTTTATAGTAACAATGTACATCAGTTTGCAAAGTTGCATAACTCTGCCTGCAATATTTGCAGAATAATTTGCCCCTTTGAAACTTAGAAATTTTGGTTAAAGGTTAAAGGTCTTCAAAGATATTTACTTGAAACTTTACACATGTACTTAGGGTCATAATTGAAGGTCACATCTCAAGATTCATTACTCTGTCATGTATTTTGACTTAGTTATGCTTCTTTTTGTACTAAAAAAATCTCCTTTTCTTGGTTAAGTTTAACATGCAAGTTTTGCATAATTCTCTGAAACTATTAAAGATACAAACTTGAAACTTCATATGTATATTTGTGGTCATAAATAATGATCACTGAGCAGCACTCATATCTGTGTCATGTATTGAGACTGATTTATCTCCCCCTTTTTACTTAATCTCTTTGTTAATGTTTACATGTAAGTTTTACATATCTCAATAACTATTAAAGATATTTATTTAAAACTTCACATATGCATTAAGGGTCATAATTGTAGGTCACTGATCAAGATACATAATTCTATCTTGCATTTAGGCTGACTTTTCTCCCCTTTTTCAACTTAGAAATTCATGATAAAGTTTTGCTTGTAAGCTGTTATCTCCATAACGTAACTGAAGGGTTTGTGCCTTTTTTTTTGGGACAATTTTATGCATTCTAATATGCATTTATAATAATAAAGCAGTGATTTACTTGATAAAACATCACAAGCCTTTGTACCTTTTCGGTCAATTTTATGTGTTCATAGGTAATTAGCATTATTATACTCTATAAAACACCCTTGTGACAACTTTTTCGAATAGTCGAGCCTGTCCTCCGACAGTTCTTGTTATAAAAAAAAAGATATTTATTTCAAATCTTTCAGCAATTTTTGGTGTTCCAGAAGAGATATGTGTACAGCAGTATGCAAAAGCTACATTTGATTACAGCAGAAAAACTTCTGATGAGCCAACTGCATTAAAAGAGATCCATTTTATTGACAAGAATTCAAATATAGTGAAGAAAATACAGGATGCCTTTTACTTAGTGTTTGTTAAAGGAGAAATGCCTGATTGTGATACCAGCAAGTTTGTCAAAAGCCGGAGACATGGCAAAGGACATTCCCCTGGAAGTTATACTGGAGCACAAGCCAGTTTTAGCAGCAGTGTACACAAGGATAGCTTTTATGCTCAAACCCAATTCGCTACAAGTGATGTTTTTGAAGTAACCCAGACAGAGCCATTATCATTTTTTGATGATGAATCAAGCGCATATGCATATCTCCTGCATGGAAAAGAAGAATATAAGCTGCTTTTAAGTCGAGGGGATCTGTTAAAAGTTAAAGCAAGTGCTGTTGTTATACCAGTTGATGATCGAGGAAATCGTGGAAATATTGCTGGTAGTCTGTTTTCAAGAATACCTGAAATATACCGTAAAGACTACACTTTTAAGCTGTCTTCAGAATGCCATCGTAAAAAAGAGTGTGATGTTTTCATTACACAGGGTTATGAGTGTGATTATCCATTTATTGTACATGCAATTTACCCAGCTAATGCTAAAAACAAACATATCAGCCAAAGAAAGCATGATGTTCAAAAGCTGTATAAGAATGTATTTAGTTTGTGTGACACAAAGACTGGAATTTGTGAAGTTGTTGCACCGTTACTTGGCCCAGGTAATTTAATAATATTCAATACTTTAAAATTAATACCAATGATAAATTCAGAGGGATGTCCAAAGCAGAGTGGTGAAGGTTCTTTGGATTCTCCAGTTAGCTTATGCAACATTGGTGGTTCTTCTCAGTAGACTGCCCATGCCTAAAATAATGTATAGAGAGGCAATTGAGGTCTTCCTCAACCAGTAAAGCTGGAAAGTAGCCATATGACTGTTAAAGTGTCATTGCCACTTAAAGTCAACCAATAAAGAAAGAATTTAAATCCTCAAACTTGATTTATCTATTGATTACATTCTATTTTATATTAGAAAAAATATAATGATTTTAAACATAGTACATCTATAATATGGCATTAATATTTGTTTGGTGTTAATAGTCTCAATAATCAAATGGCATAAAAATAGGCTTGAGTGATTTTAGAAAATTGTATGTTTGTCAATTCTTTTCCTATGTATAGAAATGAAAAATTGTCATATAATATTTATACATAGAAATTCATTTGTATGATATTATATTACAGATATTAGATCAGATAGTGATATACGGGCATGTGCAGAAATGTTTCTTCAGAGTTATCTAGATTACTATTCTAGACCTGTCACTAAGAAGTCTCTGCTTGTTCACCTTGTTTGCAGAGAAGACCTCGTATATGACTGTGTCAAAAGGGTTTTTGATGAATATGTCATGTCTAAAAAGGCGGAATTGAACAAGACCCAGGAATACATGGACATTTCACCAAGTACCCAACCAGTTGAGACACCAGATAATGTAAGTACATACAATTTCTAAATTATTTTACATACAATCATATAAGTATACATACATAATTATCATTTACTTAATTAAACACATATTAAGATGAACTGATACACTCTTATTTGAATTCAATTTGACAAAAATTCTTTACAAAATGACAAAGGAATGACTTTAATAAAAGACATTTTTCTTATAATCGTGATAATATTCTATTGATATAGTAGTATTGCAATTATGGAAGATTTGCAAAAGAATGTTCCTGTAAATAGCTTTGCTTGTCATTTACTTGTCATTTAAAATGTTTTAATCAGAATTCAAAGATTTTCCAAGTTGTTCATTCTGATTGGTGTATTTCAGCACGAGGAAGAGAATTGTGTTATATGTATGGATACAATTACTGATCCAGAAACGTTAAAATGTGGCCATACCTTCTGTAAAGATTGTATTCAAGCATACTTCCGAGTAAAAGAAGTATGCCCTACTTGTGGTCAAGTGTGTGGTGTTATAACAGGTAATTGTCAAATAAGAATTTTACTTTGAATATGATTTAATAAAATTTATTGAGTATATGATGGGTCATATAAGTTAGTAATCGAGTAGATATTGTCATTGAATTTGAATGCATTCTGGGTCTTTCATGTAGTTTGAGACTAAATTCAAGGTCTTTTCCAAAACTGAATAAAGTATGATTGAGTACTTGAAGTCTTTATTGGTAATGCTTGACATTCATCATATCTTTTTACAGTGATAAGAAACCCAAATTAAAACAAACAAATTTAGTTCAGGTACATACTTTGTTCAAGTAAATACATGTTCAGAAGTTGATTGACTTATTTATTATTTTGGGAATGCTTATTTTTAAAAAATCTTTGTTCAAATATTTTATTCACTCAAAAAGATAAGTATTAATGTGCATATATTTGATAAATATATTCTCCGTGATTAATGAATTGAACAATTTTGTCATCACTTTAAGTTTGCTTGCTAAAGATCAATGTGGTGGGACTTTAAAACATAAACAAGTAGTTTTGTTATTAAAGCAATTTGATAGCTTTAATCTCCTGAAAAAGTTTGAATTTTTCCTTTATAATAGAAGCAAGGTTTACATTATGAAATGAAGCCATTAATAAATATTATTCAATGTCCAAATAACAGTTTTGTTATCTCAGCATTAGTTGAATTATAAATGAAGCTAATCGGCAAATTAAAAGCATAATTTATTATAAAGGTGATCAACCAGCCGGAGAGATGAGATGTGCTGTAGACAGGTTTACTGATTGTAGTGGTTATAATGGACACGGAAGGATTGCGATAACTTACAATTTCCCAAGTGGTAGACAAGGGGTAAGTAAACTTGAGAATCCATGATGTATTTGACTAAAGGAATAAGCAGTTTCTGATAAAAGAGTTAAAGATGGCAACAGAAAAATTTGATGAACAGGGAAGGAGTATTTAAGAATTATTTATGTATGTTTACAAAAATAGGATGATTATTATTATCCAATGCTGATTGGTTTTGGAGGGAGATATTGTTTTGGCTTTGTCCATCAGTTCCTCCATCTGTTTGACTAAATTTTGTTTCCACAATATTTCTCAAACTGCAGACTGAATTGCATTGAACAATGGAAAAATTAATAAAAAAAAGTGCATATCATTTGTCTGTCCTGGTTGGCCCATTTAGTTATGGTCCTTGATATGAATATTCTTTTCTTCGCTTAAAATTATAAAGATGAATTTCCTTTTCTGTGCTTTTCCTGGGCATTTCTGTGCTATTTCAGGCAAAAACTGCTTGCAGGATTTAAACAAAACTTGTCGTGTTGGGGTCAAACCATTGAATAAAAAGTTAATGTTTTGCTTGAATTTTGCTGTTTTTTGCTATACTTTATCAAGTAATTAAACTGTGGGGGTTGGTCCACCCTATAAATTGTTTGGTGTTTTGTTGACTATGAAATTGTAAGATAAGGGGTTTTGTCCTACACTCAGAAGTCCTTCTCCATCAGTAGAAGTGAAAAGTCACCAAACAAAAAATATCCAAAAAAACACAATAAATTGATGAGTATCAAACTAACATTTGTTCTGTTTAGTTAATTATTTTATAATTTAAGCCTGAACATCCTAGTCCAGGAACCTTCTATAAAGGCATCACAAGAGTTGCTTACCTTCCAAATAATGATGAGGGTCGTAAAATACTAGCTATGTTGGAGGTTGCTTTCAAGAGGAAGTTGGTTTTTACAATAGGAAATTCAAGGACAACAGGACAGGAGGGTGTGATAACATGGAATGATATACACCACAAAACAAACCCAAGACCCCACCAACAGTAAGATATTTCATTATAATATACCAGTCCTTATGTTTACCTGCATGCATATAAGTGTCAGCAGGCTTTTTAATCAGCGTAAAAAGCCTTTTAAATTACAGTGGTATTAAAACACTTCATATGCATTATACATGTAACAAAATGATGCATTGAACTGAAAGTTTGCCATACAGATGTCTGCTTGTTATGATGTTCTTTAAATATTTTTTTTTATTTCTGTAACTGTCAGGTGTTCATTTTGGCCTGAAATAAGCCACAAGGGGTACTCAATGATTTCCTCCAGCACTAAAGCTGAACAGTCGCTATATGACATATACTGTGTAACATAAAACAACAACAAAAAACTGTAACTAGTTCCCTTATAACACATTGTCTCAAAACAATCTATCAAAATGACAAATTCAATATAAAATTTGTTCACAGCGCTTGAGATTCCAAACTATGAATAAACAATAAAAAATTCTGTAACTGTAGAACTACTTCCATACTTATACAGAAAAAGAATTGTTGATTATGATGTTATAGGTTCAATCTAAGAAAATACTTGTTTCAACTCCAATACTTGTTTCAACTCCATATACCATAGACTGTCTCATAAAGATCAAACTTGTATTGCATCATTTTTTCTTGGGTAATCTTTCTTTAAGGGTCCTTAAGTTAAAAGGTTAAAAAAGAAATCACAGTGCACTTTGTATACTCTGCGCCTTAAAGAAATTTTGGGAGCATATAGTTGACACCTCATTCTTTAGTGGTTCAATTTTCCACATTTCTTCATTAAGTGATTAATATCTTTCAAGACTTCCATGGTGCATGGTTCTCTGACTTTTGATGGAGTTGCATATCAAGTTTAAGGTCAAATTGGGTCAAGTTTAAGGTATCCAAAACTAAAAAAAGATTTTAACATTTTAGCTACTTATTAGGTCTTTGTTTATTGACTGATGTATTTCATGTTAAATAGATAGACAGACACCTTAAATGGTTCCCTAACTTGAAATAGAGTTTAGGGTCACTGAAGTTTGGTTTGATATAATAATACAATCTCATTCATTGACAAATGTCTTCATATTTCTGTTCCACTATGCTGCTGTGCGATGTACATGCTATGCAAATTTTCTTAAAAATAGATTAAAAAAAATGAGGTCATGACCTTTAGCAAGAGATATTTGCTTTGCAACTTGGATATTTATGAAATGATTTGAGCAGTTTAAAATTACATTATATACATGTACATGTATAATGATTCACACCACGTACAAAGTGACAATTTCAAATCAGAACTGTTTTTTATGCATTCAATAACATGTAATAGTAATTGATGGCCTGAAATGCATTGACACATGTACCGGTTTGGAATTATCCTTGTCTTTAGAATACTTAATACGAGCAGCATTCAACCTACTTAATTTATCTAGCAAACAGATGTATAATAAATTTGGATGTATTTTACAGGTTTGGTTATCCAGATCCTGGTTATTTGGAAAGAGTTAAAGATGAACTTGCTGTGAAAGGTGTAACAGAAAAGGATATCCAAAAACAATAGTTCACTGAGATAAGACTTTAATGAAGGTAGTGAAATCGTCAACTGCATAATATACACAGTCTTAATTACTTATGATATGATCCATAAGCATGATATTCATGTGAAAGATGTCTATATGTGTTTAATATATAATTATGTGAAATTGATTGTCCAAGTTTGACATGAAAAATTACAGTTGATTTATAATCAAATATAAGAAAATAAATAAAAACAATTATAATTTTATCAAAATGTTTTAAAAAGTAGATGGATTGATATATTACAATCTTTCCATTGTTTATATTTTTGTTACATTATTACATTTTATATATAGTATTTATACAGGTTAATTTTCAGTTGCAAGCTTGTTTTATATGTCATTTATATATGAAAGAAATCATGTACTCATTGTACAACTAAGCTCAAATTTAGATGATGTTTGGTACATAGATGTAATTATTTGAATTGTGTTTCACTAAAAGTTCTACATACTTTATTAAAAAAAAAGACCATTCAGTTAAAGCAACATGCTACAAGATAGATACAAGCTTTTATGAAAAAATATTTTGAATCGAGAAAAAAAAAAATATAATGTATAAATATACAAATGAGTTATATGTACAACGTAATGTGGTACTCAATACCACACTAAGAAAATGTAAAAATGATGTAAAAAAAAGCTCAGTCAACATTATTTATTTGTTTGAAATACATTGAAACAATTGGTTAACTTAGACAATTTTTTTGAAGATGGGTAGAACTTTTTAAAAAAAACTTGCAATTGTTCGAAATAACACATAAAGTACTTATCTGCTAGATAGTTTACCAAGAAGGCAAGTAATTTACAATAATCATTGCTTCAGAAGTTGTTACATTGTTTTCATCTGAAAATAAATACTTAATACTTATATATAAATGTATACACTGTATAGTTTGACTTTGATTAGTTAGTAAATCATTGGTGATTTATTTTTCTTTTAGAGCTTAGAGGCTATATCTTAACTTAAGTGTTAAAGTTTGCTGATATGTATTCTATCGTGTGTTGATATGTATTCTATTGTGTGTTGATATGTATTCTATTGTGTGTATCTTATTTTGTAGACTTCTTTCAAGTTACTGTGTTTTGATGTTATCATATCAATTGTAAGCTTAGAGGAATGGTTCTAGACTTATGTATAATAATTTACAGTATGTAAACGAAACCACTTTACCCTGTCCTCTGAGCCTATAAAATACAATGTGTATCCTGTCTTGCAATTACAAACGCATGTTTTTTTCCGACAACTGAACCTTTCTTGGGAGCCCATATATATTTAACTTAAAGTGACATTATGCTCATATTTTCATTGTCCAATTGAGCTGAATTGACTTTATATTTCAAAAGATTGACTGTTTAAATGATGTTTGACCAACAGATTATATTGGAAAATGTTTATAATAAAATTTAAAATCTGCCTAAAATATAAAAAGACTGCCCCACTCTTTTTATAAATTGAATGTTACAGGTAGATTCTAAATGACATTCACTAAAAAAGCGTTCAAGTCCGGTGGTTATTTATTGTTAATGCGAAGTAAATTATTAAATCAAAAGAAGTGATGACAAAATGAAAATTTATTTTGACTCTCACCTGTTCACTCACTATATATCTTTAGATGGGCATAATGTCACTTTAAAGGTTTCTTGCAATAACCGGAAGGAGTGTGCTTGGTATTTTGTGATATTTTCAGCATTTATTGTTTTGAATTTTGAGATAGTTCATATTGAATTTTGTAGACTTGGGTTTTGTTGATTGCAGTTCAGGTGCAAAGGTTATGAGTGTCTGGTTATATATGGCATTTTTTAAAATGAAAAAATTTACTATCACACTATAATAGCAAAAGCGAGAACATTTCCATTGTAATCTTGCAGATAAGAGAGAATGTATTTCCAGTTTACTGTTAAACAACCAGTAGTAAATATTACACCATTTGAATTATTGGGATCATACTTGAATGTTAACATATATTTCTTAAGATCACTCTGCATATTGCAATTTTTAAATAGCTTTTGCAGTTCCTTTGTGTAAGTACGATAATGTTGATTCTATATTTGAATATAGTATAGTCTTTGTAGTTTAGAGAAGTTTATTACTTTTATTTATGTTAATTTTGATTTATTGATTGATTGATTGATTGAAATTGGAAATTATATGTATATAGACGTAATAGATCCTTACAATTTTGTTTAAGTTGTGATTGATGGTAAAGAAATATATATATTACATACCTGTACATTTCAAACAAGCATTTTGGAAGTATTCTATTTATAATTCAAATAATTTTTTGCATCAGATATTTTACTTAAAACACTTTAAATGATAAGCAAATATGTGAAGTAAAAACTTACAATTATCTTATTAATACATTTTTCTTGTAGGTTGAAATAAATGAAAGTGAATACTTGGGAAGAAAGACAAAATTTAGATCATGATTGAAAACTTAAGATATAAGTTAACGATTATTTTCTTGGTAATTCCAATTGCCTGTCTTTTCATAATTGTTATCATTGTTTTAATATCGCACATGGCTTTGTTTTAAAGGGATTGTTTATGACATGGTTTTATTAGCATTTTGTTCTGATTAATAGTAAGATTTGTTATGATTACTTTTGTTATTGTATACCATTTTTAATGAGTTTCAAATGTTGTTTTTGTTTTTTCATGCAATATATGATTTGCTTCATGTTATATAATGTTAAAATATGTGATATGTTGAAGCATACCTGTATACCTAATTGATTTGTGGGCTAATGTGAAAGGAGTTATATGTTCACATCCGTGGCCAAGTGGTTAAGGTCGTTGACTTCAAACCACTTGCCCCTCACCGCTGTGGGTTTGAATCCCGACAGGGACTTTGGATTCTTTCATGTGAGGAAGCTATCCAGCTAGCTTACGGAACGTTGGTGGTTCTACTCAGGTGCCCGTTCGTGCCTGAAATAATGCACGGAAGGGCACCTGAGGTCTTCCTCCACCAGTAAAGCTGGAACGTCGCCGAATGACCTATACTGTGTTGGTGTGACGTAAAACCCAAAACAAACAAACAAACAAATAATTTATGTTCACATATTGAAAAATAGCAAATTAATGATGTTTGTTAGAATGGTGAAAATATCACAAGACATGATTGGTCCAGGCTTCAAGCTTTTAAAAGCGCATTTAATCTCCCCATATATAAAAACATTGACCAAACAAATTATATCTCTGTTTGATACAGTTATATTTTATTAGATAGTAGTTAAGGAAGGAACTTTGAATTGAGTTGTGTAAGGGAGATATGCAGCTAGTTTACAGATGACAAGTGATATAACTGACATGTCTGTTCATAGCTGATATAATGTACAAATGTCAATGTGTTTAAATATAGGGATAGGAATAAAGTCTTCTATGTAAATTAATGAGTTTTACTGTATATACCAAAGTATATAAAATTATAAATTGAAATGCATCTTGCATATATTTGTTTTGCTTATAACACTAGTTTTGTTTCATCTTTAAAGAAATATTGTTTGAAATAGAGAAGCTAGAGTGAATGAACCAATCTGACTTAAGTTAAGATCTACTTATTTCTTATTTGTAGACTGATTACTGCCATATATGCTTCACCTTCATTACGATTTGGATTTCCCCAGAAAGCTATTTTTAGCCATGCAATCAAACCTGTTTTTACAGATAGGCATTAATAGAAGAAGTATCAAAACACCTTTGTCCGTGGAAGAAAAAAAAATTGTTCATTTTTGTTAAAAAAAAATTGTAAACTTGAAATAATAAACTCAGTTTACCTGCAGGGTTTATGAGAAACATTGTGATTGTTCTCTCGAAATCGTGAAAACTATCAACTCATTATTGGTTATATAGCAGTTAAAATTAGAAAATGTATCGTGAAATCTCGTGGATGATTGCCTTCTGAAAAATCACAAGAAGGTTACAACCTATGGATGATCGTCAGATCCTTATGTTAAGCGTTATTTAGGAGCTGATTTTAATCAGATTGGTGTATGAATGTGCATTGTATAACAAATCTACAAGATAATTTACAGTGACAGGTTGAGGGGTGTTGGTTTTCTTTAGACATTTGCCTACGGTGATATTTGGTCACTGCTAATGGTAATTATTTGTTATATCTTACAGTATTTGAAAAATAAACATATACCATGTTCCATATAACTACTTGTCAATTCAATTTTATAAATTTTCATTGTAGCTCTTGAGTTTCATGTTATTTTGTACAGAAATATTTATATGAAAATATGTCACATTTTCTGTAAGCATGTCGGGGGGAAAGTAAAAGAGCTACATTAGAAAAATGAGTACCATTCAAAAAATATTTTCCTGGTGTCACGGTTCAGAACTGTTCACTTATTAGGGGAGAAGGTGTGTAAGCGGCCGCATAGCTCAGTCGGTAGAGCCACGGAACTGTATTCCGAGGGTCCCGGTCTCGAGTCCCGGTCAGGCTGCACATTTTTCTCACCCTGTGACACTGGTACTTCATGAATGTATATTGAAAGATATAACGAACCATTAGCAAATACCATTAGTGGCGATCCAAATGTTACAGTTAACATATCGCGAAGAAACATTTGTAAGCCATCAGCTTAATGATGTCTGTTTTGTCCTACTAATATTTTTAAGTTGAGTATAAAATTTCTAAAGCAAATTTAATGTTGTATGATAAGCAACAGGTTTGATTAGGACAGCCTCAAATTATGATCAGCTAGATTGAGAGCATCTATTCGTTTACAATGAGTTCTACATGTGTAAGTAAAGATTGTGTTGTTTTTTAAGTTTTATTTGATTGAGGGATTACCACATTGCTTTGTATTACCAGCATACTTTTAATAAATGTTTCATTTCCGTTCTGTCTGCATAGAGTTTCTATGTTTAACTTAAAGCAGGCAGTTTAAAAATAAACAAATGCTGACATTTTCAGCGTTGGTGCGATGTAAAACTCTTAATGACACAATGGCTTAATAAGAGTGAAATATTATCAAATTTTTAATTTGCTGAATTGATTCAATTTAAAACTACGAGGGTTGTCCAAAAAATTCGTGCACTGCAGTTATTGTTGTGAGAGTTATTGATAGAAAAACATGAATTATATATCACTTGAAGGGGAAATCTGTCTCAAATAAGAAAACAAATGAAAAAAGCGTGTAACCAGCGTGTCTTGAAAACGAATCGTCATTAAGTTACCTTAGTAACGTAATACCGGCGCACGACAAAACATTGGGTTAGTTCATTACTTTGATGCATTACGGTTTTCTTTAAACACTACATGTAAATGGTAAAATTCAGGGGAAAAAAGTGTGTATGTAATCCTAACGTGACTAGAAAATATGACGTCATTTGCCCTATTGTAACGGTCGTAAACAAACATTTGTAAGTGGTCGTCAATACTGTAATTACGTGAAAATGTCAGTAGCTAAACGTCTGGAAATACGGACGATCATTAAATTTTGTGCAAATACAAATTTATTGGTAAAACACCAACAGATACCTACAAAGAATGCCAAAAGGGCAAGCGGGACAAGTTCAGTGTCACGAAGGCTGGTTTTTAAATGGCACCAATGCTCTGTTGAAGAGACGGTAGATGATGACAACAGGTCAGGCAGACGTCCGTCCGTAATGCCGGCGCATATGAAGAGGATTGTCCAATATATTTGTGCACCGGTGGAATATGTTACATGTACGTTGTATAAGAGCAATAAAAACTACAAAATGCTTTGCATCAATCATTTTTATATTGACAGTAAAACAAATTATAACATGAAAAGCAAATGTCACTTTACAAGCAACAAACAATTAATACAATTACAGTAATGAACTAACCCAATTTTTGTCGTGCGCCGGTATTACGTTACTAAGGTAACTTAATGACAATTCTTTTACACGACATGCCGGTAACTTGGCTTTTTCTTTTGTTTTCTTATTTGAGACAGATTTCCTCTTCAAGTGATATATTATTCATTCGTTTTTATTAAGAACTCTCACAACAATAACTGCAGTGCACGAAGTTTTTGGACAACCCTCGTACTTACTAAGTATGCACAATAAACTTTGAACTATGAAATATTTTCGTAATTTCAGATATAAATTAGTTTTCATTAACTAGTTTCTTATTAATGAAAGATTTATTTTATATTATGACAGAGTGATTAACCAATTTTCATTTAAAGGGACTCCACTGACGTTTAAAAGCCTAACAACATAACATTAGAATTTCTTACATAAATGGACTGGGGCGCTTTAAACAGAAATATATGCAAAGATACATGTAGTTAAGAAATATACTTTAAAATAAATCGAAAATCGTAGTTTTATGCTTTTCTTAGCCTAATTTGAGTGAAAAGTTTTCAAACACTTCATATTGGGTCATTTTTTTACATTTTGGATAATTATTCTGGAAAAACGAAGTGCGCAAATGATCTTAAAGTTTGCACAAAGATTCATGGTCTACACCTACATCAAATGGTACATTTATCTGGAAAAAAATATTTTCAGTCCCATCATGTCAGAAAACCTCAGTGGAGTCCCTTTAAGAATTGTATTTATTTAGAACTATCAGAACTATGTGAAAATCATGTTGTGGCCACTTTTATATGACTGCTTGTGTTGTATGATTCTGATTAATAAAGGATGATTCAGTGATAGCGTCTTAATGTGTTCTTTATACCCTAATCCAGATTTCTTAGATACTATATAAAACCGTTCATGAAATAAATCAAACATTCTTACTGTTCCAAAGTACTTTCTCCGTGGTCGAGGGGTTAGAGTCGATAACTTCTAATCCAGTTACCTTTCTGGCGTGGGTTTGATCCCCAGGAGATGCTTTGGAGGTTTAGAACAAAGGAAGGTAGTCTAGTACTGGTGTAACTCTCCAGGAACGATGGTTAGGACACTACCCGCCTATATGTGGAAAAAGGCGTAAAATGAACAAACAAACACATCAAAGTACCTCACAGTACTTATATTATACTATTAAAAGTTCAAGTCAGTTCTGATGATTCTAACATACCTATATCATTGTGGATCTGCTTTAGTAAAAGAAGACAATGTAAAGTTTACCGCTTTTGCGTATGAACTGGCATTATTGATTAAACTTGGTCAGTACAAGGGCTACTAGAACCTTATAAAGTTTCTTCTTGTAGTGCCCTCTCGGGTACATCTCGGGTACCTTGGTAAAGTTATAGAGTGCAGGATATTATAAGTTAACCAACGTGAATCCTTCATTCATGTCATTAGGCAGGAATAAACAGGATCATAGGCAGCATGCTCGTGTATCAAGATTTGGACAGTCCACTGTTTCCTTGCGAGATCAAAATAACATGGTAAATACAAAGCATTTCAAGACATATCTGACAAAACAAGACCTCACTATGGATTGTATTATACATCTGCTTATATATCATAAGTTTTACTATTAAACAGTGTTGTGTAACAATTACATCTAAAGAGCAGATGTGGTGCAAGGATGTGCTTCTGATCTCTGCAGGTTGTGTCAGTGTTTTGTCAGCGTCGATAGGAAAAAACTTTATAAAAGACGCATATAATCATTTCATACATTTATTCCCAATTGTTCTGAATTACACGAGAGTCTGAGAAAAGATTTGGAAAGCTTACCAGTTCAATCATTCAGGAGTATGAAAGATAATATTAAGCAAACAAAATATATTTAAACATTCATGGATTCCTTTGATAATAATGAATAATACACTTTTTTGTAATTGAATGCATTTTAAATATTCCCATATAATTTATACCTGAGAACTAAATGAAGTTTTCTTTATGTTTATATATTGTGAAAGTAATGCGTGTTCAGCCAGTATAGAAAAATGTTCGGCCAGTGCAGAATTAATGCAAAAGCATTAAATGGCCACAAATTTTGTGAAAATGATTATAACCGAACATGCTACAAATGACTAGCTCCAGAAAAATTGGCAAATATCCCTACAAATGGATACTAATACCAAAGTGTCTGTTCTTATTTTTCTATAAGGTAAAATTCTGTCTCCTATTGTTATTGTCCAAATACATGTAGCTACCATTTACATACTGAAAATACTTGCAATGCATATTATTGCAAACACTTTCAATAAAATCCTTTTAAATCTTTGGAGAATGTGTTTCTGACAAAGAATGACAAAGGAATTGGTTAAGAAGATATAAAAAAAAGAAAAAGCATTAAAGCACACTGGAATATGCAAGGAATAAGCTTGGCTTGTGTTGGTAGTGAAGTTTCGTATGATGTTTTTATGACTAAACATTGTATTTTATCTCTTCATGACCTAATACAAGAGGGCAATGATGGCCCTGAATCACTCACCTGTATATAGGCCCCTAGAGCGGGGCCAATTTTAACACTAGGGCTTTTATTTGAACAACCTTTGTAAACACCCTTCAGAAGATGTTTCATGACAAATACTGAAGCTTTAGCTCCTTGTGGTTTTTAAAAGAAGATTTTTTAAAGCTTTTACTATACACATATAGGGAAAAACAATGCCCCTCTGGTGAGGCCAATTTTGAACCCAGGGCTTTTATTTGAACAAATTTGGTAGACACTGACTAGAAGATAATTCATGCCAAATATTTAAGCTCTAGCTCTTTCTGTTTTTTAAAAGATTTTTTTTAAATTTCTTTCGGTTGCCATGGCAACCAGAGTTCTGCATGGAATTAAATTCTTTGAACAATTTTTAAAGTTGACTACCAATGGAACATTCCTATCAAGTTAAAGTTTGGATATAATTGGCTGAGAGGTTTATTAGGAGATGTCGTTTAAAGTAAAAGTTTACGGATGGACGCCAGACGAAAAGGGATCACAAAAGCTCACCATTACACTTTGTGTAAAGTAAAGATAAATGTGATAGTCTACTATTCTCAAGATATGTCCAGCATATTTACTATACTTGGAATTATCAAAATGGACTAGGGCTGGTCGATTTTTTAAGATATTAATAAATAAAGCATAAACTATAGTTGTAAGAACAACAACAACATATTTAAATGATCAATTTTATTCCCATTTCAAACTTATAATACAATTTAATCAAACATAATTGAATTTGTATTTATGAATAAATTTACATAAACATGACTTCTATCACCTTTGCAGCAAAGAAAACAAAAATTTGATATTGAGAATATTATCTTCCACTTAACTTGTTTATTTCTCTATTAAAATTACATATTCTTTCCTAAATTTTTGATGTTTTCTTATTTTAAATACATTTTTATCACATAAACCGCGGCGCAGGAGTGTTAAAAAGCCATTTAATAAAAACAATATTACACTTAATGTAATAACACTTTGATGTGACGTCATTTTCGCTATATAAGACCATAGAGTTAAAGCGCGCTAGCGTTAAAGCGCGCTAATGTTAGCGTTACACTATCAGACTATAGGCCTGTCAATGAAAAAAGTCTCTTTTTAACAGTTTTCCATTCTTATTTTATACATGTGATAAATAGAATATTATATTCGTGTAGATTCAGTACTAAATTTATTGAACTTGTTGAATAATATCATAGTATGCAAGCCTCTGGCGAGCATAATATTTTTTTATTCAACTCATTCAATAAATTTAGTATTAAACCTACACTCATTCAATATCCTCTATATATTAAATATATTTAAAGTGCCCTTTCACAACTTGCTTGAAAATACTTTATAGCAAAACACAAAGGTTTATATTCGATAATATTTAGCACATCAAAATTCTGGAAACAAAGTGATCCCTCCGAAGCATTAATCACAACAAAATAACATAAGAATTGCAGACTCGGTTTGATCGAGTCTGTACATGAAGGATAATGAATAAGTGCAACATCCCTCACGCCCCCTAGTACCAGCTTGAGCGGTACTCAATTCTCAAAACCCACATAAATTAGAAGTTAAGAAGCATGTTACATGAAATAAGCTCATGGGAATATGGGTTTTGTTCATTCATGTCATTTGAATTAAATTTTATCATAAGAATCAGTCAAAAAGTTAAGTCAAAAATAACTATCAACTATAAGAATTAATCTTTAAATGAGTAATAATTGAAAGTAGTAGCAATTCAAATTTTAGAAAAATAGCAACATACAAACTGTATCACAATGTTTAATCAAAATAAAGGTTATTATTTTTCTTATAATCAATCAAATCATGTTGATATGCCAATTTAAAGTAAAAGTATGCCAATTTAAAGTAAAAGAAGTCTTAAATGACCACCAAGCTAACATTATTTCAGTCTCGACTTAACCATACATCATATTTATAAGGGTCATTAAGAGACATGTACAAGACTTTATCAAATTAGTCTTGTCAGGAATTTTGATGAAATAGATCTGACATATATAAATTTCTGCCTTTTAATGGAATGGACAGACTGTACATGCTGTATTTGTATAGAAATAAAACTGTATGTCACATACATTTATGTACTTCGTATTTAAATGAGTAATTAAAAATCAATTCTATCTTATATTGTATAAGATAACATTAGTAATTTTACATTAAGTTTGCTCTTGTGGTATTTAAAATAGCAAAATTGTTTTAGTCTTCCATGTGAAGCATCAAAAGGCATACTAAAAGAACACTGTAATTTTTATGAGACAAAACTTAATTAAACAAATTTACAAATAGATGTATAACCAGCATATAATTTACACTTTAAATAATCAAATAACTGTTAAAAGGTTCATTTTCTTTGTTACCTGTAGTAAAATCCAATCATGCAAATAATCAAACAAGTCTAATAAACATAGAATTGCATTATTATTTATGTTTGCACATCAAATCTAATATAGTTAAAATTTTAAAACACAACAAACAACAAATTAAAATTTGGTTACAATATATATTATATGAAATGAATTTATTTTTGCCCAATCATTCACTTGATATTTGATTCATGAAGAACATTGGGAAATGATTCCACAACAAATTAAAGTATGTAAATGTTAGGTGTTTTATCTGTTGACTACTGCAAACAGCAAAACAATCATTTAATACCATTTACAATGTTCATGAATACACAGTAGCAAACGCTTTTATGAATAGCAGAAACATAAACTACTAAGCAAAACAATATTTTTTATAGAAAAAAAAAGTCATACACAACATTTTTTATGAACAATAATATGTCACCATATAAATCTCAATACTGCTCAGTAAAGCTCAGCACTACAATAGTAAGTTGGTAAGCACAACATCCAACCCGAAGAATCATTTGGTTATTACTGTACATAATACATAATTATAAATATGACAACAGTACAGAGACAGAGATAAAGTATTTTCATGTTATAACAAGAACTCCGCGAGTCGGATGTGCCACCTTGTGAACAGTATAGCTGTCACTTAGGCATTTTCTTCTTAAATATAGGTAATTTATAAACACCCCTTTTACAATTACATGGAGTACAGAGTTCTGGTTCTTGTAAACTGCACTTCTTCTCAATTGGATCTATCATCTGATCTATGAAATTTCAAGTCCATAGCTCTTACAGTTTAGGTGAACTGGATGGGACAAAAATAAAGTATGAAAATTAACAAAGAGCAATAACTCAAAAATCATGGATTACCAGTTTTTGTGCACTGCATTTCATCTCAAAGAGATCTATTATCCTATAAAGTTTCATGTCCATAGGTTTTGATGAAAGAATGAAATACAAGAAAGCTGTCACTATGTATAAATCTTTGAACAATGACTCATTTCCACAGTACATGAAAAACAAATTTCAATTTATTCACCAAAGACATGAGCATAACCTTAGGTCAGCAAAAAATTCAGATTTATTTATGCCACACATAAAAAATGAAATTTTAAGTAAATCTATGACTTATTCGGGCCCTAAACTATGGAAAAATATCCCTTTTTGTCCATTCGTAAATCTGAAACTATTGGAAAATTCCAATCTCAGTTGGAATTTCACATAAGTACCTTGATCTTGCATAGATTTAGTGTAAAGTAATGTATGCACATTATCATGTACATGCAACTGTGGTCTGAATATGTATTTTGTTTGAATGTACATTGTTTTTTGTTTTGTTGTTAGTATTGTTTGTGTTTTTTATGCCACTTTTATGTATATATTATGCATTTTGTGTTTTCATGTTTGTTATTTGAAAATTTCACTGTATAACCATGATGTAAATTATGTATATTTTATGTATACATGTATTTATGTTTTGAGGCCCACATGGAAGATTGGGTAACCAAATGTGTAGCCTCAGCGAATAAAGATTTTACTTACTTTCTTACTTACTTACTTTTAAAGTTTAGGAGAAATGGCCCGGACAAAGATAAAGTATAAAAATTAACAAAGGGCAATAACTAAAAAATCATGAAGTGCAGAGTACAAGTTCTTGTGCACTGCACTTCTTCTTAATAAGATCTATCATCCTATGAAGTTTAAAGTCTATAGCTTTCATAGTTTAGGAGATATGGCCCAGACAAAAATAAAGTAAGACAACAAAGGGCAATAACTCAAAAATCATCAAGTACAGAGTACTAATTTTTTAATATTGCACTTCATCTCAATAAGATATCATCCCATGAAGTTTCAAGTACATAGCTTTTATAGTTTATGAGAAATGGCCCAGACAAAAATAAAGTATGAACATTAACAAATGTCAATAATTCAAAAAATAAGAAGTGCAGAGTTCTAGTTCTTGTTCACTGCACTTCTCCTTCATGAGATCTATCATCCTATGAAGTTTCAAGTACATACTAACAAAGGGCAATAACTCAAAAATTTAGAAGTGCAAAGTATCGATTCATGTGCACTGCACTTTGGGTCATTGAAAGAAGCATGCATACAAAGTTTGAAGTCAATCTGATTTATAGTAACCGAGTTATGCTCTGGACAAGACAACAGGGGTATCTACTAATTATGACCAATGGGAATACTAAATATGAAAAGCTTTCTTAGTCAAGGTCCCTGTGACCTTGACCTTTGACCTGGTGACCTCATCTACTAATCATGTCCAATCTATATACCAAATTAATATTAAGACTGTGGGTCAAAGAAATCTTAAGTTATTGGGCGAAAAAGGAAAAAATTGGCGGATGCCTGGAAGGCCAAGCTGATTCCAGTATACCTCTCTTACAACAAGTTACAACCTTGTTGTGTGGAGGTATAATGATCTTATTAGCGAACAAATGAAGCGAAGCAAGAGCAAACACTTTTATGTACAATTGTTACAAATTAAAATGGCACATATTTTACTTTCCACAAATCAAAGAGAGTCTGCAACATCAATGATTTTTCTATGTTGGTTCACTTCATAACTTTTTTAGATAGTTTCCCATTCAGCAAAATCTATTAAATATCAAAGCATTATCCCTGTTTACTAAATATGGTTTAATATATTGGACCAGCTTTTAACTTTAATATATAAATAGAAATGAAGAAAAGAATTTTAAAAAATCTTCATTACCATAACAAATCATTATACAGTTACAAATTTTTTCTTTGTCATTCAAATAATTGTACGAGAGCCTTAATGAGCCAAATGATAATCTGTTTGTACACATTTGTACAGTATTTAACTTTTTAAACATGGTACCTGTTAAAACTTTACAAGGATTGAAGCAAATTAAACAAGAGCACCGCTAGGCGGAGCATTTTTATTATTATAATACCCCAAAGTTTTTTTTTTTAGTAAGGATGAAGCATTTGTAAGACATGGGAATCAAATAAAGTATCACCTCCTTCAAAAAAGCAATCCTCCTTTATAGCTGAAGAATCTTCATATATGTATATACAGTTGCTGTTTCCAATTTAGCTACACCATCAATTGTTATCTTGTAAGTAAAAATGCTATGACGGATGGACAAAAGGCGCCATGTGTATAACATAAAGGGGTCTTCTACTCAATATTGACAATCATCTTATGAAGTTTGAACACTGTGGTCCAAATGGAACTTAAGCTATGCTCCGGAAACCACAATTTTCAGTGTTAAGATCAGTGTGACCCTGACCTTTGATCTTAAATCAACAGGGGTCATGTATTGGACATGGTTGTTCATCCTTTAAAATTTTACAGCTGTAGGTTGATTTATACTTAAGTTATTGAGCGGGCCCTGTTTTCAGTTTTAAGGTAATTGTGACCTTGACCTTTGACTATCTGACACTAAAATCAAGAGGGTCTTCTACCCAATATGGACAATAATCCTATGAAGTTTGAATATTGTTGGCCAAATGGAACTTAAGTTATGCTCAGAAAACCAAATTGCTACTTAAGAAGGACGCAAGGGGTATAACATAATATGACCGAAATTCTTTCGGGCATATAATAATACAAAAAATCCTTTCATTACTACATGGAATGTAAATAATGTTTAAAAAAAAAGAAATAAAAATTACAGAATAAAACAAAATGAATAACAATTTTTTACAAATCACATTGCATTCAGTCAAGATATATATACATCTACATACATACAGACCACCCCATCATAGTATACTTCAAAATCTTTAAGATTGGGCATAAAAAAATAAAACTGATTAAACTGATTATGTATTAACAATAATAAATAATGTATATTCACAAAAAGGAAAATAAAGCCATGCAACTTTCTCAGTTTTGCCTTAAAAGTTTACTTATCTGTTTCATACAACTTTCATAACATATACTAATTATTGCCAAACCAATTTTCATATACTGCATTATTTGTGAAGAAATTGCAAATTTTGACAAATTTCTAAAGACTTTAATCACTTGTCAAAGCTGTGGTAAAATAACATGTGCAATATTAAAAATAAATTAAGGCCAAAAGATATCTTATGAAGGCATATATACTTATAGTTTATAGTTATAATAGAAACAAGATATGTTTGTAAAACATGTATGCACCCTATCGGCACCCAATCAGTCATGTGGTCAGATTATAATGACTGACTTTTGACCTAGTGATCAAAAAATCAACAGGCATTAATCTATTGGTCATGAATAGTCAATTGCTAGGTAATTGCAATCGTAAAGGATGTATGCAGCAATATTATGACAAAGTTATCACACATCTTACCAAATAATATATACATAAATTTTATTAATCATGTAGACATCCTTAATGACAGCCAATGTTATAACACATAAGACCTTGACATAAGTATACCAATAGCATTTTTATTTTAATTAAAAATATCAACCAAAGCAACTTCAGTTCTTGAGTTATTGGTCGGAAACCATTTTTACCTACAAGGTCAATGTGATCTTGACCTATGACCCCTTGACCCCAAAATCAATAGGGGTCATCTACTGGTCATGAACAATCAACATATACTCAACATCACTAATTCTGCGTCATCACTTATCTCACGGTAATGGCATATTTTCATGTGACCATTGTTATAATTGGTCAGAATAGAAGTATTTTATTCAAACACCTCAACAACAAAGTTTTGTGCAAAATAATTTAAATCTATAGATTTTTACGTAAAACTGAACAACATTTTACAAACTTCTGCAAAAAACAACAATAGTCCATTAAATCTGTGCATACGTCTGAAACAATCATCATTTTCTAAATGTTCTTGTTTGTTCAAAAAATAAATTTTGAGTTACAATGTAAAAATACTTTTAATATTCAAAATTATGCAAAATAACTTAAAGAAATTTTAACTGAAACATGAAAAACTTAAATAAAACACCATTACCGCGAGGTAAATGATGACACACTGTTTTCAAAATGGCCGACACACGGTTTACATCTGACAAATTAAAACTAATTTTGATTGAATATATTGTTGTTTCCTTGTGTCATATAGCAGGAAAATGACTAAATGATACAGTTTATGACAGTTTTTGTTGTGTAAGTGTATTGTTTGTGTTCTTTACTGTTTTAAAGTGTTAAGTACCATGAACTAAGAGGAGAACAGTATACTAAGTTTGAAGTTCCTAGGCCTAAGTTTTCTAAAGTTATTGATCAGAAACTGCTTTTACCTACAAGGTCAATGTGACCTTGACCTTTGACCCCTTGACCCCAAAATCACTTAGGGTCATCTACTGGTCATGAACAATCATCATACCAAGTTTGAAGTTCCTAGGCCAAAGCATTCTTTAGTTATTGATAGGAAACCATTTGGTCTAAGGACCGATGGACCAAGCAAATTATGGTGACAGACAGATGCAAACAATATACCCCAACTTCTTTAAAGGGGGGCATAATAAGACTTTAGAAACAGACAAGAACAACTGTCAATATCAACATGATCTTGCAAGGTAATATTTTAAGCAATATTCATACAAAAGACAATTTGTCTATGTTTATAAATCTGAAAGCAGTGAAACACATCATTATTATATTCACTTTCAAACACTGTTAGAATATTTTATTTATTTAATAAATTGTATCTGTCCAAAAACAATTATTTATCGAGCAGTTATCTCACTAAAAATATCATTTGATTTCACATACTAAAATTTTGACAAAATATTCAAACATCCAAACAAATGTGTGAAAAACAATTAAGAAGAAAAATAGAAAACAATCACAGGAAGTTTAAGAAGTGTATGCATGTACAAACATATATAAGGGTATTCCAATATACAATGCATGTATTGAATGTTGCAACTCCCCATTTATTCTTCTTTCAACTCTTTGTTTACACCCTGGTTTCATTATAAGATTCACCTCTATATGTACCCCTGTTAAAACAATAAAAGACATTATAAAAGAAAAGCAAATATTCAACTGAAAATCAAAACCAATATATATTTTTTAAGATTTATAATTGTCTCAGATGTTGTACATTTACTTTACTTGAATAATTTGTTTAAAATGTTAATAAGAGGGCCATGATTGCACTTAATTGTGGTTGACATGTAAAAGATTTAAATATCAGGATGTTCCTTGTTCAACAGACTGTGATGATTAAAACGATTTTTGTCAATGACTACTCCATGATCATTTTGATCATCTAAATCTACAGGGTGGTTAAGGAAGAGTTGTTTAAAGGGTTTTTTTTGGGTTTTTTTTCGCTCTGTCAGTCATTTATTTAGAAAATCTGTACAATTTCACCAGTTTTAGTACTGAGAACCACCTACGGTCTACAATCTGAAGTTTCATCAAAATCTAACAAGCAACTTACATGTATTTTGATTTAAAGCATATTTCTATTTTCATCTCTGGTGGTCAAACATAATCTATTAGTCTAAATATGATTTTTTTCAGGTTACAATTATCACATTTCAATGTTTTCTAGTTGTTATTAACACAGATAACAGACAATCCAGTGAACATTAAAAGTTTAAGATAAGCATATCATATCAGTTCATTTAGTTACACAAGTATCAAATTATGAAGTTGAAAGATACAAAATAACTTTACGTTTTATTTTTGTTTAACTCTAAAGCTTTTGACACAGCTTCCAGGTTTTCTTCGCATGTACCAACAATCTTTACATCCTTCAAACTTGTTTTATTTTTCTTTAGGAAGTCTACAAGTGCTTTATAAAATTTCTGAATCCAAGGTCTTGTCATTCTACCATCTACAATATAAGAACAATATAAAGAAATTCTTATTTTGGCATTACAAATGAAACTAAAGCCCTGTATGCATTACCAATACTAGTCTGTTAAGAGGAACAACTCAAAATTAAATTTAAGAGTGTTATGGCTGTTATGTTCTTCATTTCTCAGGGAGATGAATAACTGGGTGAATCTACACGACATTGATATTTAAACACAAAATAAATTAAATTTTATTGGAAAAAGGAAATAACTACTAGATATACTGATAATTGATATGTTAGTTTGAAAAGACAATGATAACTCCAACAAAATTGCATTTTTGAAAAATGCTATGCCACCACATTAATTATATATTCTAACACTATCGGATTTTTTTCTATATAAACAAAGAAGGCCCGAAGCGTGCATTATTCTTCAACAATGCACATGCCGTTCTTATTACCTCCCTGTGTATTTTCACATTGAGGGCGCCATTTTGTTTAAAAAATCTGATAAATAAAAACATTTTTTGTCGAAATTTGTTGTGAAAGCTATCTAGAATGAAAGAAAATGGTCTAACTAAGAAAATGAATCCGAACACCAATATCTTTAATTCAGTTGTTAACGCTGTACAGACGTTTTAAGTGTTGTTTACGTGACGTCACATTGTAGCGCCAAACAGCACGTGCAAAACAATCATATCAAGTACGCTATTCTAATGTCGCAAACGAGTTAAGTTTTACATTTATTTCACTTTTAATAATTTGTATTTCGCTTGAAAATTATGAAGTGAAATAAAATAAACAAACAAAGTTTTCAAAATTCGTTATTCTCAAAATGTTTCTACACACAGTAGATTTAACGACAGTTTCTTTCAACCCACTGGAACAGCCTTTAAAGAACGTTTCTATGGGAAACTCTCAGGCGAAAACAAATTAAACCACCAAACAAAAAGTCCAACTTTATAATAATAATTCTATTTTTTTTTGACGTGTTAGAATGGAAATAAATATTAATTCTTCGTGCATTATTGTATAATAATGCACGTTTTTCGTTCAAATGCTTTGTAATTAATCACTCAGGCCTATCGGCCTTCGTGATTATATTAATACGCATTTGAACTCAAACCGTGCATTATTCTACAACAATGCACTCAGAATTGATATCTATTTCCTAAATACAACACTAAATAGAAGTGTAGGAAGAGAAGAGTTTATTTTTGTTTATATACTATTGAACTTTGCCATAATGCAGTTGAGTCTAGTGAATTTGGTTGTCAAGGTCACATTTCACATGACCTTAATTTCATGACTGTACATCAAAGGACAAGACAGTAGTTTACATCATAAATATATAGGTCAGCTAATACAAAGTTCAATTTTACATCTAAAACTGTGCACATGGTCCAAAGTTCATAGTTGTACATCAAAGTACAAGAAAGAAGGTCACATCATCAAAATCTAGGCCATTCTATTTTACATCTAAAACTGTGTACATGGTCCCAAATTCATGGATGTACATTAAACAAGAAAGTAGGTCACATCATCAAAATCTAGGTCAGCTGATATCAAAGTTCAATTTTACATCTTAAATGGTACACATGGTCCAAATTTCATAGCTGTATAATTATCAAAGAACAAGAAAGTAGGTCACTGTCCCCTTGGGCAGGGCAAAATTTAGACCCCAAGCGTGAAATTCAATCAATCAATCAATGAATTGTTTCATGTCAAATATCTAAGCTAAAGCTTTCTTCTATTCAGACTAGAAATGTGTCATCAGGCCACAGATGCCCCCGCATGCAGCCAAAATTTCAGATGGTGCATTAATTATTTTTTTCATTTTAAGTTCAAAGCCCTTAAAACTTTTCAATGTTAACGCAAACCATTTTCATACAATGTTCAAGGCACTGTAATTATTCAGTCTTAACCTTTTAAAAGTAGCATATTGCATATTTGTAGCCAAAATAATGGCTAAAGTATGAGTGCTGAAACTGAAAGTTCAAAATTTTTCCAACATTCAGGAAAGATAAGTTTGTCTAAAATCATTGAACCACGGCCAAATTCAAACATAAACTGCTTATTCCTAAGATGTATCTATATTATTTTCAAAGTGAAAGGGACATAACTCTGCCAAAAAAAATCATCAAACCATTACCAAATTCCAACTTTACCTGCCCATTCCTTTGACATATCCATATGTCAAATTTAAGTTGAATATGTAACACTGTTGGGTAGATAATGTACAGAAACTGTAAATTTAATATTATTTTCAAAGTGAAAGGGGCATTACTCTGCCAAAAATCATTGAACCATGACCAAATTCGAACTTGGCCCGGGCATTCCAAAAACATATCCATATGTCAAATTTGAGTTGAATGTGTTGTACCATTGGGGAGATAATAAACAGAAACTGAAAATTTCATATTACTTTCAAAGTGAAAGGGGCATAACTCTGCCAAAAATCATTGAACCATGACAAAATTTGAACTTGACCTGCGCATTCCTTTGACGCATCCATATGTCAAGTTTGAATAGAATGTGATGTACCTTTGGGGAGATAATGAACGGAAACTGAAAATTTCATATTGTTTTCAAAGTAAAAGGGGCATAACTCTGCCAAAAATTATCGAACCATGACCAAATTCGAACTTGACCTGTATTTTCTCATGACATATCCATATGTCAAGTTTGAGTTGAATGTGTTGTATCGTTGGGGAGATAATGAACGGAAACTGAAATTTTCATATTATTTTCAAAGTAAAAGGGGCATAACTCTGCCAAAAATCATCAAACCATGACCAAATTCGAACTTGACCTGTATTTTCTCATGACATATCCATATGTCAATTTTGAATTGAATGTGTACTATCGTTAAGGAGATAATGAACGGAAACTGAAATTTCATATTATTTTCAAAGTAAAAGGGGCATAACTCTGCCAAAAAATCATCGAACCATGACCACATTCGAACTTGACCTGTATTTTCTCATGACATATCCATATGTGTGCAACCGTTCTTAAGATAATGAACGGAAACTGATGATGACCGAATGACAGAAGGACGGAATGACGGAACAGGGTAACACTATATGCCCCGGCCATTACATGGTGGGGGCATAAAAACATTTGCCTTAGTTTCTGTTTTTACACGATGTACATAATGTAAATCAACGACCCCTATGGCTGGACCAATTTTGACCCACAGGCTATGATTTGAACATTCTTGGAAAAGGTCCCCTATGCTATGTACAATGCAAAATATCTAACCTCTAGCCTCTGTCAATTAAGAGAAGAAGATTTTTAAAGTTTTTACTATATTGTAACATATAAGAAAATCTTATATGGATTAAAACTGCAGCCACTAGAGTGTTAACAATATTTTTTATATATTTAGCTCCTGTGACCTAGTTTTTGACTGGATATGACCTGTCTTCAAACTTGACCTAGAAATCATCAAAACAACCTTCTTGACAAAATTCCAAAATATTTAACTCAACACTGCAGCCACTAGATTTTAACAAGATTTTCTATTTTTAGCTCCTGTGACCAAGTTTATGACCGGAGATGAGACATCTCCAAACTTTACCTAGAAATCATCAAAACAACTTTCCTGACAAATTTCCAGAATATTTGGATGAAAACTGCAGCCACTAGAGTGTCAACAAGCTTTTCTATTTTTCGCTCCTGTGACCTAGTTTTTGACCAGAGATGACCAATCTTCAAACTTGACCTAGAAATCATCAAAACAACCTTTCTGACATTTTCCAGAATATTTGGATGAAAACTGCAGCCACTAGAGTGTTAACAAGCTTTTTCTATTTTTCGCACCTGTGACCTAGTTTTTGACCAGAGATGACCCATCTTTGAACTTGACCTAGAAATCATCAAAACAACCTTTCCGACAAATTTCTAGAATATTTGGATCAAAACTGCAGCTATTAGAGTGTTAACAAGATTTTTCTATTTTTAGTCTCTGTGACCTTATTTTTGACCGGAGATGACCCATCTTCCAACTTGACCTAAATATCATCACAACAATCTTTACGACAAATTCCCAGAATATTTGGATCAAAACTGCAGCCCCTAGAGTGTTAACAAGCTTTTTTTATTTTTAGCTCCTGTGACCTAAATTTTGACCGGGATGAATCATCTTCCAACTTGACCTAGAAATCATCAACAAAACCTTCCTGACTGATTTCAAGGGAATTTGGATGAAAACTGCAGCCACTAGAGTGTTAACAAGCTTGTTCTATTTTTAGCTCCTGTGACCTAGTTTTTGACCTGAGATGACCGATCTTTGAACTCAACCTGTATTTTATTGAGACAAACATTCTTATAAAGTTTGATGATGATCCAATCAAAACTGTGACTGCTAGACTGTTAACAACCCAATTGTTGATGATGCACAACGTACAAGACAGACGCCGGACATCACTATACCTCACGTTGACCACTTTGTGGTCAGGTGAGCTAAACAAGAGGGCCATGATGACCCTGAGGTCGCTCACCTGTATATAGCCCCCCCCCCACCCATCACCCCCCCACACACCCATAAGAAGATGTTTCATGCTAAACATCTAAGCTCTAGCTCATTGGGCTTTTTAAAAGAAGATTTTTTTAAAGTTTTTACTATACACATATAGTTAAAAAAAATGACACCCCTGGGGCGGGGCCAGTTTTGACCCTAGGGCTTTTATTTGAACAAACTTTGTAGACATTTACTAGAAGATGTTTCATGCTTAATATCTAAACTCTAGCTATTCGGGTTTTTTCACAAAAGATTGTAAGTTTTTGCTATACACATATAAGGAAAATCAATGACCCCCGGGGCGGGGCCAATTTTGACCCCAGGGCTTTTATTTGAACAAATTTTTTTGACACTCACTAGAAGATGTTTCATGCTTAATATCTAAACTCTAGCTATTTGGGTTTTTTCAAAGAAGATCTTTTAAGTTTTTGCTATACACATATAAGGAAAATCAATGACCCCCGGGGCGGGGCCAATTTTGACCCCAGGGCTTTTATTTGAACAAACTTAG